ATAAGAAGTAAGAAATCATAAAAATATTCAATATTTTGTATTTTGAGGGAATTGAGCGAACAGACTTTTGCTCTCTCACAGCATGAACGACATCTATTGAAGCACTTTTTTCGAAGATAACAGATGGGACAACTTTTTAGTCTATACATTTATTTGTCTATGCCAATATGTCTATCTATAATGACCTCTTGAAACCCTTGAAAATGCGCCCTTTCGAGCTCAAGTAGAACACATCGGCCAAACCGCTTTACAAGCTTAAAAATGATCTATAGACACAGAAGATCTACCGACTATCTTTAATCTGCCACGACTTCCAGTTTAAGTTAAAAAAAAGAGTGAGCATATGAACAGGTCACGTCTTCAGAATATTTCGAGTGGTACAACACCATTGTGTATAGGGACGCCATCAAAATGGGTGTCAGTTTGGGTACGGGTGTTCCCTTTAACATCAACTGGCCGCAAGGAAAATCTTGCAAAGTTAGACCATTTGGTACAGATTCTGGTCTTGGGGATCTTGGCGGCATTTGTTCTTATTTCATAAAATAAATAACACAAAATTACAAAGTAAACACCCCAACTTGGGTAGGCTAGTGTTACAACAACAAGCTACTGTCCAGCTAGCAGCTGATTACAATTTTTTCCTGAGTATGCCCTACTTCTGTCACTTTCCCTCTTTCGGTTTCTTGTTCAGGGAACTATATGAAATACAGCTCAGATTTGGATATAGCTCCAATATATAACTTTATCCAATTTCAAGTTATTTGTGCACCAAATGGGTAATACAAGCCTGAATTGAAAAGGCACAAATGCCTCGGAAAATTTAGTAGAAATCTATTCAGAGGAGGATATTCCTCTCATATATTACTTCCTTTCGACTTTAATTTATAACTATAATCATAGTTGGTATGATTTAATTCTCACAAGTTACCCATAAAAACTTTTATTTGTAATTTTTTTTTTTTATTTTGCAGATGAAAAGCATTTTAAAAAAAACTGTACTTTCAAATATATAATTTTGAAATATTTGGATTATTAGTCGAATTGGCATTTACTTGTCAGCACGGCCTCTATATTCAAATACACAATTAAGGAAATTTCACGTTAATGGGATGATAAACATTCTCGTTTACCTGGAGCAGAAATGGGAGCATGCACGCATACATACAATAAATAAATACATGTGCATATGTACATACATATGTATGTCCTTTGTGTACATTGCGACAAGCGGTAGGTGCGTATAAAAACGTTGTTGCTTCGAATAACAACTTAATGATAACATACACAAACGTTTCGTTTTGACCGGTTGGCATGTAGTTACATTTTGTTTTATTTTATTTTTTGCAAATGTCCAACAAGTCTTAAGGGAAAAGTCTTTTGTCCATATAATCACAATCATCCAACGCATACGCCTTTTCTTCCTCATCTCATTATGTCCATGTGAGTTTTTTCTTTTAAATTTTTCAATCAATTGGGTCGAAAAAATGATTTAATTATTATTTCTGTAAAAAAGTTTTTTCGTATACAAATGGGCCCCACATCCATATAGTTCATGTGTATATGGAAAAAAATCTGGTATGGGTATGTCTGCATGTAAGTCGACCCATTTTAACGTCCTCTTCAGAGTTTTGAAGAAAAAACGAACGAAATACGCAAAGACAAAACTTTTACGAAAAGAAATTTAACGATTGCCAAAAATTCCTTAGTTTCCATAAAACTGAAGCATTAAAGCGAAAGGCATAAATATTTCTCAGAACAAAATGTCTGCATATCAGCAATGGAATCTGCATCAGCCAATTTAAAAGAAAACATTTGTTCATGGCATTTGGAAACATTGGGTTGTCACCCGTCGCTGCAAAGGGTATTTCTCCTTTAATATGTATTGGCGAGTAGGTTTAGGTTGTAACTAAAGCGCTTATCGTTACATTCCCATTAAAGGTGCAGAAGAAGCTAAAAGATGACTTAATCCAGTAAAATAACGTCTATGTATCTGCACCTTTAGAAGACATATTAATAGGTTCGTTCCCAGTAACATTTACTCAGTAAGAAGTTACTAATGAAAGTTACTAATAAAATATAGACGAAGAAATGCTCTCACTGTTTATCTTCGAAAAAAATTCGGATCAGCAGATGTCGTCTATGTCGTTTCGGGGGGTTGAGTAAGAATGTTGAAATCACTCAATCTTAAAATGTTAAAAATACCATAAACTGTAGGATATTTGCCTGTGGAAGATTGTACCATAATAAAATATGAGTGAAAATTACGTGAAGTCGAGTAGGTCAACCGCGTAAATCACCTTGTGAATATGCAAGAGCGTGATGAGAGCTACCTATATAAAAAAGACAAAACTAATACTAAAAAACTAAGAAGGTAGGTCAAATTGCAAGTATAGAGGTCTACCTGTTTGGCTTGTAATGTCAGAATTAGTATCAAAACAATAAAAAATCAAACAACTTGTTGCATTTATTTTGAATAAATAATTGAAAACCGCGATAACTGAATGAAAGGTCAACACTTCTTTTCAAAATCATGTACTATATGTCTCTAAAGGATTATTTCGCTACAAAACTCTAGATTTTGTCGATGCATGCGTTGAAATAAACATTTTGAAAACACCCGAATTTGAATGTTTTCTGAACAATTTTTTTGTTATTGAAAAGAAAACACATACATAAACAAAAAAAGATGACGTATTAGGCCAAGAAAATAAAAAAATTGAAATCATATGGTAGTTCTGCCCTACCTTGATATCATTGTACCATGGTTTTCCATATTTTTTTAAGTCTATGCCATGGTAGAAAAATGGTAGAAAGGTAGATGCATCGACGATTGGAAACATTGATACGTCATAACTTTTTTTAAATGTTTTTTTTTTTTAATGAGTAAATTTTTATATGTTTTTTTGTTATACGACACCAATCGGAGGTTGTTATGACATGCACTTTTTAACGATTTTTACAAATTTGAATAATTTTTCTTTCAAAATATTCAATTTCAAATTTGGTTTGACAGTTCATTGTCCCAGCACCTGCGTCGATGCGACTACTTGTATTCTTCTACCATGGAACAGCATTTTGCAAAACATTTGTGAGATCACAGCTGATCCATCGAAACAAATTTGGCGCAAATCTTAACGGCAGAAATATTTTGATGCAGATTATTTGTTTTTACATTTTCATTATAAAAATAATGAGTAATAAAGAAGTTAAAAATCGGCTAATTTCAACCGGGCCGAACTTTTAATACTCTCCACCATTTGGAAGGAACGTGACAAATAAAAAAATCGTAGAAAAATACAGTTTAAATGAAACCGTTATTTGGGGGCAATACGAAGACGAAAACCTGCATAAGATTTTTTTGTCAACTCCGAACTTTAAATACGAAATCTAAATCAAATCCGGTGAATAATGTCGCTAAAATCATCAAAATATACGAAGACGTTGACCTGTATCAATTGCGTATACAGGTTTGTCATAAATTGTAGGACCCATTAAGATCTTCAAGTACGAAATTTGAAACCATTCCGGCAAATAATGCCGACATGGCCCATTAACGAACTTAACATGCCTGCTGGCAAAATATACATGTCTGCGAAATGTTTGCCTTCTATGTCAATTCGTTGAAAAGGTAGGGTCATTACATCAGACAGACGAACATATCATATACTTTTTTAAGTCTGACATGAGTATTTCGAGGAGTTACAAACGGAATGACAAAGTTAATATAACCATTATGGTAAGGTGGACGGTATTAAAACATAAACCGTTCCCATACCCAAAGTTACGATCTGCAACAAATAACTATTATTCCTGCAATTCCAATTGATATAGATATGGACAATGATGTTCCACGGATGCACAATTTTTGTAGCTGGATTTGACACGTAAATTAAGGAAAAAGCTCATAATCCGCTTTTAATTTATTAATAATAAACTTTGTTTCCGTTACGTTCTCCGTATCCATTGTTTTTAATCATTTTAATAACTTTTTTCCGCAAAAAAATAGATTGCTTAAATTTGTTTGTTTGCTTACAAAACAACTGATTATTAAACAACTGAGGTTTCCCAGTAAGAATTTGCAAACTCTCAGTAACTCAAATATCAAAATATCTCTCTCGTTTCGCTCTCACTTTTTCTCACTTCAACGAGCAGCTTCCAGAATTCCTTCCAAAATTCGCAAACGAATACACATAATATGTTCAAGGTACAATGAATACAAGGTGGGTTAAATTTCCTAAATTGTGGATAGTACTTTTAGAATTACTATAAATAACAGCGATTACAAGTTTCTTAATTTTGTACATTTGAAAATATCGCATAAAAATGTATGTTCATATATCCATTGTATATAAAAAATTGAGATGGCAAACTTTTTTCTATATCTACAATGTAAATGATAGAAATTACAGAGCTGTATATTATTTTCAATCAAAAATGCTCATACTATGCAAAACTTTGATAATTATTTCTGTGTTCCAGAACGACAATAATACTACAAAGGCCCTTTTTTCTAAAGTATGTCGAAAATATTGCAGGTTCTGGAACAGAGCATATATGTACGTTTACATTCGAAATATATATAAGGGTTATCCCTGATAATTGGCCAATCACAACAACTTTGACTATAGGAAAATTTATTGTTATTGGTCCATTATAAAGGTTAGCACCGGTAAATATTTTGAATACAAACCCGCTATAACACAGATCATATCATAGAATGTAGTTTTATGCCTTTTTTATTACTTGAGCTGTCCGACTTTTGGTGGTTCTAGCAGATGAGTTATTAAGATCAGATATAAATTTTTTTTAAAAGTCAAATCATTCATAAAATTAACTTTGCTCGAAACAAAGTAAACAGCTAGCTAATATTCTTGATCGGTAGTGTGTACCATACTTTAACATCATAAAATCGTTGCATAATTTCAGGCATTTATAGGTAAGGAAAAGGAAAAACAAAAGGGAATAAAGGAACCAGCTATAAAACAGAATCAAAAAACGAGCAAATATACTTACACATATATAATATTATTATAAGCTACCTAGTTCCGGAACTATCGGATCCCCTTGGATGCTCGGAAGGACTTGGGCAACACTTCTACGTGGTACCAATTCAATTGTGCAACAACATACTCGCTCGGTAATGTCGAAGACAGCTTTGGTTATTTTGGCCAATGGGGCCGAGGAAATGGAATTTGTTATTGCAGCTGACACCTTGCGAAGAGCAGGAGTAAGTTCGTCTGACATTATTTCTAGAAAATTCTTCAATGCGTAGTACTCTGCGATATTTTAAGAATTGGAGTTTGGTGACATTTGCGACTTTTGGACGACCTACATTTGACATTTATGAACATTTGCCGGTCAGACAAATGACAGAGCTTATTTTCCATAATTGCAGATAGCTGTCACAGTTGCTGGTTTGGCTGGCAGCGAGCCGGTGAAGTGTTCCAGGGACGTCGTTATTGTGCCAGATACTTCTTTGGAAAGTGTCAAGGCAACTAAATTCGATGTTGTAATTTTACCAGGTGGTTTGGGTGGATCCAAGGCCTTGGCTGCCTCTGCGATGGTTGGCGAGATTTTGAAACAACAGGAAAAAGAAAATAGGATTGTTGCGGCCATTTGCGCCGCTCCGACGGCTCTGGCAGCTTTTGATATTGGAAAGGGGAAATCGTTAACGTCATATCCATCTTTCAAGTCACAATTGGAATCCCATTACAAGTAGTCGATTCGTTTGAATTCCTTTTGATTTTGTCATGCCAATACTTTAAACATATTTACAGGTATATTGATGATCAGAAAGTTATACAGGACGGAAACCTAATCACTAGTCGTGGTCCAGGAACTGCTTTTGATTTTGGTCTCAAAATAGCTGAAGTCCTAGCCGGACCAGAAAAGGCAGCCGAAGTCGCCAAGGGAATGCTACTTTAGGACAACATGCTGTGACGCCTTCAAATCTTTAATTTATTGTCATGTGAAGTATATACAATAAATATATATTATTTTTTGTAATCCCACAAGTACTGCAATTAATTAAAAAAAAGGTAGTCGCATAACAGAGAACGAATGGAAAACGATTGGATCCGTTGTGTAGAAATGTAATATTTTCTAAGTATTTTTATTTACTAATACAATGTTCCAGTACCTGCAAGAATCTACTAGTTTTGGAATTTTCTTCGATATTACAGAATGAAAATCGGTTATGGTATTAAAGACGTTACCATTCTTTCAGTTCTGGAACAGAGCATAATTCTGTAATAATCGAGTTGCATATAATATGTCACATAGTACAAAGAACACAAGATGGGCAGGCCATAGCTATCAACCAATTCTTTTTTTATTCCAATGACTTATCATGTCAAATTTAGATATGTTCGTGTTTGTATTTTTCTCAACGATATGAAAATGTAACATCAAGTTTTATTTAGCAGAATCTTCCCCAACGACGGACAAGAAGCCTACTTTTGACAACAGATTGACAAAAAACACTATTGGGATTCGAATAATTTGAAATAACAGTTATGCTTTTGAATGCGAACTTAGTTGTCGAATGGGCTTTCTGCTTATATGTGCTGATACTGAACTTATATAAGCCATGATCCCAATTGTTTAAAAACTTTTATGCTTTTGAATGCGAACTTAGTTGTCGAATGGGCTTTCTGCTTATATAAGCTGATACTGAACTTATATAAGCCATGATCCCAATTGTTTAAAAACTTTTAAGTTTATGGTCAAAACTTAATTTTTTGTCCGACCTTACTTAAGACTTGAACTAACCTATTCTACTTGAGATATTTTCATAGTTTTAACTCCATATGGTCGTGATGTTGGCACTCAAACGGTTTTCTAGATTTATTGCAAGATATAAGTTCCGATAACCATAATTTTTAATCAGAGTAAACTCAATCGAATTCGAGCGGAGCGCTCCTAGAAGCAGAATTTCCATGCCGAGCTCTCGTTTTAGTTGCTTGTTGTATTTCTATGTATGTGTATATTTTCTGTACACGATCATAACTCAAAAACAGGTTGCTCTAAATTCAACTTAATTGTCAAACTTTTATCTCTGCGTTTCAGATCGACAAACAGAAAAAGAAAAGCAAGCCAGAGTTTTTTTTTTAATTTTTATTGTTCGTTTTTAATTATTTTTGTCTTATATAGTATGTATATAAAGTATATGTATAAATTATTACATAGATAAATGGTTATCTACATATATATTTTTTGTTTGCTTCTTTAATTTTAATGTTATTACTGTTTTTTTTTTTTTTTTTTTTGTTTCTTTATTTATTAAATACATATTTCTGCTTATTTCTCAAAAAATGTTATATCAATCAAGTTAAGTTTCGAAATACGATTTCATTCTGCTGTAGTAGATAGATTGATTTGTGTTCTCGTTAGGTAAAGACGATTGAATTTTGTGTTTTCGATTTTAGTGATAAAAATTACAAAAAGTAGAAAGGAAACAGTTTTATTTATGAATGAATACTTAATGAAAAAAAAAGTAAAAGGTTCACATAGGTTTTGTGGTGTATTTTTTTTCTTCGAATCTTTATTATTTCAGCATACATTCATTTTGGGGGAAAGGTGTGGGATGGGAGAGTAGTAGTTTCTGGGTATTGACCGTTACGAAATAATAAAATATGTTCTTATTACCAAAAGCATGACTACACTTAATATATGGATAGGGATTTATAAGGTCGACGATAAATGGTGTTTTTCTTGTTGTTTGTAGTACTGGTTGGCGTTTTCATTATGTATTAGGTTAAAAAAAAGTATTTTCTCTATTATTAAACTATTTTGTATCGTAGTTGTATGTATGTATGTACTTATATGCTTGTTTGCTTTTGTTATTAAACTATTTCAATGATTTTGTTTTTGTTTTAGATACATTTTCGCTATAAAGACCCTACAAATGTGTTTACAAAATTAAATTCTATTTTTTAGGTTGTTATTCAATTATTACGAATTATGAATATTATTAAAGAAGAAAACATCACACGTCCTTCTGTCGGTCGGCCTGTTAGTATGTCTATCTGTTGGTACCACTACACAGTGTCACATATACGGTAGGTAGCATAGCTGGCTGGCTGGCTGGTGATGATGATGATGACGGGATGTGATTGTGTCTTAGAGAAGTTTTGCTTTCGATATTCTGAGTCTTTTTATGGTTTTCATTGTTTGCTTTTGTTTTTGTGTAGTAAACCGAGCTTACATCTACTTTTACTTCTATATGGATGTGTGTGCAATGGGCTTTATTAGGTTCTGTTCTATGGTGCGCATGTGTATTGAATTGTTATAAATGATATCTGGCAACTGTTAATATAACAGTTTTATGTAAATTTTCATGTGGAACTGATTTTCGTTGTTAACTTAGTTGGATTTCTATTCGGATCGAAAGCAAAACATTTAGTCTCAAAAAAATCCCCAAGGCAACGCTACCTTCCCTGCAAACATCCATTCGTCAGCATTCTACGCCGCACACTCCTATGTGTGTGTGCCGTACATAATCTTAAATGAGATTTTCTCAACCCCATATACGCCTTAAAAATGAGTGGAGTGGTAAGAACGAATATTGTTGCTGGTGATAACGAACCTTACACACTCACATCTAAATATGCTACAAAAAGTGATTTGCTGCGTGGAATTGAATTGTTATAAAATAAGCTCTCCAGAGCCGTTTGCATTTGAACTTATTATTATTATTACATACATATTTATTTTGTGGTAAAGTGTGCCAGTGCATGCATCTTGCAACTGTAGAGGAAAACTTGATTTGAAGTGTTTTCGTTTGACCATTCTTTCTCGAATAAGACAAAATTCTAAGTATGTAAAGCAATCAATGAATAAATTATACTCGGATAGAAAATTATAAGCATTTAAACCTATGTTTTTGGGGTAACAGGGATTATACGTTAGCTTTACACTGATTATTCTTGTTTATGATGCTATTGATTGTGGTAGTGGTGGCTGTAGATAGTGTGTCCTTTTGTGTTATGTTTTTTCTCTTGCGTTTTGTTTGTTTTGTTGTATTTTTTTTTGTCATTAGTGTTTATTAGGATAAGATCGCGCATACGCTTATGACGAACATATAGGTGAACGATAGTAACATTTCGCGATATAATAAACATGAACACGGCTTATATTGTTGTTGCTGGCATAGGCAATATGTGTAATGTTATAAACAAATGCTTTGCACTCTTTTCTATTGCATCGATGCCAACGAATTGCTAATGTGTGATGAAGTACCTAATGTGGAGGCCATATCCTGATAACTGAACTGTGGGCGAGAAGAAATGGAAAACGTAAGGCATTCACGTAGGATCACACAAACAACTTCTGATATAAAAATGCACACAACGTACCTGTGGGAAGTGAGGTTCTTCGGCTATCGAACCCAAGGGACCTGTGGGATCTGGTGGTGTCAATTCGACACTCTCGCCAGTGAACTCTGTATCGAAATAGCGTGTGTCTGTGTCCGATGTTACTTGTGGTTTGAAAGGAGGCTCGATCTAAAATGTCGAATCATCATGTGATATGTCTTTACCACAATAAATACGGCTTACCTTCTTTTGCACCAAATCAGTCCAGTTAATGCTATCAAAGAACGGATGTACTTCGATTTCTTTGACATCACCTGGACCGCCACCCAAACGTTTTTTGGGATCTTTTGCCAATAGACCGGCCAGCAGACTTTTGGCTTCATCCGATATTGTACGTGGAAACTTGACCTCTTCAACAAGAATTAGTGTGAAGAGGACATCGTGATCACGATTATAGAAAGGAAGACGTCCACACATCTACAAAATTCAGTTTAGTTAGATAAGTACGGGCGGTAGGCTATGCATAATTTGGATACTTACCATCTCGTACATAACAACACCAGTACCCCACCAATCCACTGCACGGCCGTAATCGTTGTCTTCTAATACTTCTGGCGCCAAATATTCCGGCGTGCCGCAGAAAGTCCTTGTAGTGCGACCGTAGGTTATGTCCTCCTTGCAAAGGCCAAAGTCTGCAATTTTAATGTGGCCATCTTTGTCCAACAACAGATTTTCCAGCTTCAAGTCGCGATAAATGATGCTCTGTGAATGCAGATATCCCAGGGCTGATATGATTTCAGCCCCATAGAAACGGGTACGTTCCTCACTGAAAACACGTTTGCGACTCAAATGAAAGAAGAGTTCACCGCCATTTACGTATTGCATTACAAAGCAAAGGCGATCATTCGTTTGGAAGGAATATTTGAGGGACTAGAATGTAAAGCAATTTTTAGCAACGTTACCATAGACAAGTCGTCAATACATACTATTAAGAATGGATGATTTGTTGTTTGCAAAACTCGGCTTTCTGTAATTGTGTGAGCGACTTCATCTTTTTGGATGATCACCTCCTTCTTCAAAATCTTGATGGCATACAGTTTGGCAGTTGCCTTCTCACGACACAATATCACCTTGCCATATGTGCCTTTTCCCAACACCTTTAAAAATTCAAAGTTCTCCAGAGTCTGAAAGAGACAAACGTGGTCTAGTGCTGTAATCCTGTAACTATTTCGGTTTGTATTTACGTACCACTTTCTTAACTCCGCCACTGCTGCGTGTAGACGTACCCTGAACAGAGAACTTTTCACATAACTCATCCTCCGCTATGGAAGCCATATCGACATCGGTCATATCTGTGCTGTTTGTAGTGCTCATGGCGGTTTCGCCCAATTCACTCAAGCTACTGGCCACAGTTCTATAGTTATGACATAGGAAGATTCCATTTAAAACATATATAATATCTTTTGTTTGGGGATTTACCTTATGGCGTCGGTCCATTCCTGCCTTTCCCTTTCAGTATCAACGGAAAAAGTGCGTTCTACGACAGAAGTCCACTGCAACCCGCGTATGATGAACGTGTAGGGCCTAGGGCGATCTACTGTCATGATTTGACAGCCCTTAATTGTAAAATCATTTAGGGGCCTTTCGGGCGGAGCATTCTCATTCGGCTTGTTCCGCCAACCATGGAGAGTGCCATCCGATCGCAGTATGAAATAACGAGAGCGCCAAGTTTTGATGTGTTCCCCGCGTTTCTGTAACCAGCCCTCTTTGACTATTGTGGCGTTGGAGTGTGTTCCTCCGGCTTCATTGGCGGTTGGAATCGCACCGATTTCTGACATGACTACTTTTCCAGGTGCTTGCTGGGTATTATTTGCTGACTTGGCGGAGCAATATTGCGGCAATTGTTTATCCAAGGACTCACGACTGCTGCTTTTGCTATTGCTGTTTTGATTGGAACCAACAAATGGGCTGCTCAGCGTTTGAACAAAAGTTGAGCCTAGCAGTCCTGTTGAGGTAGATCCTGTGGCAATTGCCGGTACTGTCCCTTTGTTGCCACCGGCTTTTGCGACCACTGTCGACCTCCTCGATGTTGCGAATGGTAAGTAATTCGTGATGAAGCTTTCAGAACGTACTTGCTTGACGATGAGGGTTAACTGTACCTCTCACCGATGAATCCTTAAGCGTTGAAAAAAACTGAAAAGAGAATTTATTTATCTCAAATAAAACCAGGTTAAATTCGACTAAGGAATAACACTCATAGCCATGGGAGGAATATAAACATTCCACAATATATATTTAAATTCAAAATAGCTCAAATATAAACTTCAAAAACATTATTCATAGGAGACCATTTTTGAAACCGAAAGACGGACATGACTAAACACTGCACGGCCCATCTTGAACACACCGGGTGCACTGGACATACTGAAGATAATACCTTCTTAAACTAGATTTACACCACTGAAATTTTCTTAAAAATCTATTTTTAAAATGCTTCAAACTCGTGTGAACAGCAACACTTGAACAATAATTTTTGAAAAAATGCTCCTGTTTTCGAGTTAAAAGCATTTTGAAGAAAATTTCAACAGCGTAAAAACATAAAAAATAACAACATAAAAATTCGAAGACTTTGATTGAGAAACGATGCACATACTCTTTTGATCGTATAACTAAATTGAATGTGGCAAGTACGTCAAATTTCTAAAGTGTTTAAAATTTAATTATTTGCTCTATGCTGGTTATTTGCACAAATTCCATTATGATAGGTCCCATTTTTTTTTTGTTTCCAAATATACCGTAATAATGGCTTGCAAATAATGTGACACCACCAACCAATTTGTAGCAACAGTGAGGACAGCGAAGATGACAGTCTCCAGATAGCAAATAATTTCTAAGACTTATAGCAGCCACATGCATATTAAACGTTCTTATCAGCTGTTGTATTAACAATATATTTTAATATTTTAAAGACTCCAAAATGTAACAGCTGATCGGATCAAAGGAAATAGCCCAAAGGAAACAATGCATGGTGTCAAAACTACTGAACGCATAGGCATTCACTCCTCCCAATTCATTCATTGCCGTTGACCGATAAAATTTGACTATTTCAATGGACTTTTGTGAATGCTGCCGACCGATAAACAGCGAAGAGAATGCAGACGGCGGCAAGAAGAAAAGCAAACACATCACACGCGACAAAAATAAAATTTAGAAAACTTAAATAAAAATAAAAAGCAAAGAAAGTAAAAAACAAAAACAAACTAAAACATATAATAAAAAATATATATAAATATATGTATGTATGTACGTACGTACTATATATTCTAAATACACATTTACTACAAACATATGAGTGAAAATAAAAAATGAAAAGAATTTCCTCCGTCTAGACGCAAAACGGCCAATGTGAATTTCGCTCGCGTTTGTCTGCGGATAGCGTATGTTGTTTTTACAACGTTCAAAAGTTTCATGTTGGCGGTGATGATAGTGATGAGGTGAAATTTAGACAAAGTGACACTGAATGTATCTGGCCAAGACAATCCGAACGAGGATCACTTTTCTCTTCAGCTGTGCCAAAGAGTACATCGTTAGATTAACAACTCGGGGCTGTTGAATTTGGAGAATTTTGGCAGCAGAATGTAGTTCTGTTAGTTTCGACATTGGTCGTTTTACAAAATTAGATGGTGTTTTGACTTGTATGGAGCAAGTTGCTAATTTTCTAGTATTACTTATGTAGCTATTAAAGGTATTATAATTGACTTACAATACTATAAAAAGGTTAGCATATCCCATAATTCCTTAATTGGAAACAATATGGAGCGGCTTCGAAGAAATAACGAGAGATTGTAAAAAAAGGCCCACCAGCTGCAATAGTTCTCCCAAAATATGTATTTAGAAAAATCAACATCAAGTAAGACGCTGCAGTATTACTCCGGGACTTTTCCCTTAAAAAAAATGTGGATGTTAAAAAAATAACTTTTTGCATCAATCAAATCGTTTGTTGCTCTGAACGGTTGTCAGTCAGATACTGTTTTGAGCTATAGTGGTATTCCGCAGCGGTCGGAATTAAGTCCACTTTTATTTATTTTGTATGTAAATGACCTTAAGGATGGCACTGACCCCGAGTCATGCTAAACTTATCATTTCGCAGATGACATTTTCCTCCTTTTGGAAGGAGGAAACCCTATATTTACCCTGCTATATAAAGGAAGTGTTGCCGCATGCTCCATTAATGTCTACAATTTTATATGGTATTGAGGTAGTGTCCGGTGCTACTGGTATTCACCTCATCCACTTGTATAGAATCGTAAATTCTGTAGTTCGGTTTGTCTATAATATCCGTGGAAGAGAACATATATCCAAATATGTCAAACGGTTTGTCGGCTGTTCATCCAGTGACCTAATTACCTGTCGTAATCTCGGATCCTTTTATAATATATAGGCAGTGGAAAGCCAGTTTCTTTGAATATGTGTTTCACTTTTTCTCACTTAACAAGAAACCCTACAATTATTATAATTAGGATCTGTAGAAATGATTATGGAAGATCGTTTGATGTTGGAACACATTACCCTATGAATTAAGAGTTTTTTCACACTCAAATAATGTTCTTCGATTAAAACTGCTTCAGCATCTTGCAATCTAATTTATTCTATATCACCGCTGTTTAACTTAATTTATTGCTGTCTAATCGGGAGTTATTGATAAGATGGATATTAAACACCTAAAACCTTATATTATTATTTTTTGGCTGGGGAGCCAATATATAAATAATCTGTATAGTAGTAGTACGTATGTACGCACGGATATATCAAGTCATTGTACATTTATTAATTTTTATTTTTTTAATTGGTGTAACTCAGGTTTTAAGAAGCTATGTAGTAGTTATATACGGTCTTTGTGGCATTTTTTGTTACAAAATCGATTAATAAATAATAATAATAAATGAAGGAACATCTCATTCAAAGTCAGCCTTTAGTTCTGACGCTAGAACGTAAAAAACACTATTTATTGATGCAGGAAGAGTACGTTTTTCGCTAACGTGCTGAGTACCGGATAGGATCGCTTTACTTTAAGCAATTACAGTTGTTGCGACTGCGGGTGGGACAGCAGTAATATTTGAAAAAGTGGCCTTCTATTATAGAGTTGTGAGTCACGAGATTTCTGCGGAGTGACGTGGAAATACACGTTTAATATATTGAATTGAGGGTAAACTACCTAAAATCCCTGATGTAATCATCGATGTCAACCGCAATAATAAATACTCTATCACAAAGCAGATCAAGTCAATAGGTCAACTAAAAAAACGATCTAAAGGTTTATCAACCATTTGGGATTTCAATATCTTAGAAGTTTAAGACGTTTTATAATTTTCCTATGTTTTATACAGTTATATGAATCTTGCGATAGTCGAAAACCTGCAAACATTCCAAACTCTCTGCTTACAATTGAACTGAAATTATAACTCGGTACACAAGTAGTGAAAATGAAGCTTTTGTGTGTATTAGATGAAACTTTGCATATAGTAGTGTGAAGACATATTACATATGATATACATGTTGGCATCAGTGTGCAAAAACAACTTAAACAAAACGTTTAAAAGAGTTCGTATTTTTCAACGGTATAAAACCAAGTCCACCAAACCAAAAAAAAAAAAAAACAGAAATTATTTCTCCTGAATTTTTGTACTGTCTAAGTACGTGACTCTTAACTGACATAAAAACAATAATACCTAGCTGCATATCAATATTAAACTAGTAATAATAATAGCTATAATAATAAAGATATTAATAAGAATATTATTATTAATAGCTATAATTTTGGTCATCATCAGAGTGCCAACAACGACGAACGAGATTGTCGGTATATGAAACCCATTCCGCTTCAACAGGAGCCCCTCACACCAGGGAAAAAAGCTACAGTTCACCAGACGTAACCATCGTGTCAGCATGTTTTACGGATATAACTTATATCTTTCTGAACGGTTTCCTTCTTCATTGCATGTTCTTAGCTATGCGACCCCAGTGTGTTCTGCGAATACTAGTGCAACGGGGTGCCTTCCCATGACACCAGTGGATCATCTAGAATTGGAAACGAAGGTTCGTCCCGTACGTCACCGTAACCACATGCTTTCATTGCAGTACCTGCTTGGGCGTTGCCGTGGGAGTTTAAGACAGACCTTCTAGATCAAGAACCATTTTAAATTGGTCTGAGTACCATGCAGACTCATGAAGTCAAGGATGCTATTAACATTCACAGTATGAGTATCGTCCTCGGTGTCTACCGCATCCATTGCAGCTGAAGAACGTCGACTGAGTAGACAAATCAGGGAGGCTTTGACCCAACTATGTTCAGGATAGTAAAGCCGTTTTCATTAATATTAGTCGCGAATTATTGAAAATGTGCGTCTGCCCAGCGTGTGATACAGGCTTTTGAAGATGAACCATATCAATAAAAATCAACACGGCGCATATTTTAATGTTACAACAACAATAACACATCATAAAGGCCATAATAATGTTTGTATCATAAAGGCAAGTCACAGATATCTGTGATGTGTTGTACAGCAGAAAAAAGAAACTCGAGTAGCTAGCCGCCAGCACCTTGGGGTATAGGTTGAGGTCCAATAGAATATCTTCTAATGACATCAGTGGACCTGTAAGGTTCGGCCTGTATATATAACGCTTGAGTATCTAGTGAATTGTGGAGATGGTTCCAAATGGATTCAAAGTTAAATAGGCATCAAACAAAATGTAATATAGGAACGTTGGCCGTTTATAAATCGGAAAGAATGAATTCCCCAATCAAATGTGGATTGTTATATTTATCATTGTAATCAGTGATGCAAACATGACCTGGGGCAAAATTCTCACATTCGATATCGAAGAAATTACGATCGGAATGAATCTGTGTACATATGTGCCTTTTAGATTGTAATAGAAATATCTGGAGCCATACCCTACCATTCCAATTCATATGGTATCTATCAAAATCTTCGATTTAATCACATTCGAGTTCATTGTGATCGATTTTTTCTATATTGAATGCGGGAAATTGGCCACATTATTAATATATTCGATTCGAAACGGGTCGATCCTCATCTCACTTCATCCGCAAAATTTCATCTAACAGTATTGGCTCAATGTCTTACCATACGATACTCTAAACAAAAACTTAGCTTTTGGTTTTATCTATTGGTATTAATTAATAATCAAAATCAACACTCGGATTATGTTTTATGTTGTCTAAAATGCAAAAATTGCATCGTAGATTTTTACACTTTTCACAAAACAGAAATCATACTCTTTACACCAAGCTAACAAGGCCAGCCAAGCATGATCGGCTCGTCCGCCCTTCCTCTCGTTCATGCGTTAGGGGTGGTGGTCTTTTACATGAAAATAATATCCTCGGACGAAAGACACCCAAACCAGGGATATGACTTTTCAGGCTTACCTTTTACTTCCTTTAATATGTTTATCCAATAAGTTTGAAAAAAAATGTCAATGTATTGCCCCTCTTGTATGGACACAAGCTGAAAGTTGCAGATAACACGTTTAGTACGTCGTTTCAGTTGTTCAATGAAATGATTATGGTGGCATCATAGTCGCAGCGCATTTAATTTGTTGCAATCACACCTGTTCCTTTTCGACTATTGTATTTCTGAAGCCACAAAGATTATTCTCCTGGTTTTGCCTCTCAAGGAGTAACAGGATTTCGGGGATGCTAATTGGATTCAATTTGATCGAATGAAAATTAATTCGAAGACTTCTTCTGTCTAATCGATGATTGTATGTAGTTTTGTTTTTTTTTTTTTCACGCAATGTCGTTTCCTTTCTTGACTTCTATTTCTTCACATTTACATGCACTTTTCATGAAACAATTTATGCTATTCTTGAAAATACACTTTTAGAAAGGATTTTACAAATATTAGTTAAAGATATCCTTAGATTTGTTTAGATTTGCCACAATTTATTTTTATTTCACAAAGACTGTAAAAAAAATACTAAAATTATCGCAGCGGCGTCGATTGACACACGAAAAAGCAAAGTCTACTGAGTCGATGAGAAAGCCGGAGCCGGAGTATTATTCGGCTCTGTTGTCTGGTCAGACCAGTCGGCCATTATGCTTCACAACTCGTTCTGAGGATTTCATTTTGATGCTAATTTTTATCGACCATTCCTTTCTTCCATTTGTCCGGTTTGGATCGCTTTTATATTTGTTAGGACCAAGTAGAAATGAGAATAAGGGAAAACTAGATTGGTACCTACGTAAGAATGATCCAGAAATGAAGGAACGCTAGGAATTTGAGCATGAGGAACAAGAGGGATCGTTATAAAAGGATGGATAATTGAATACAAGATAGAGGGACAATTGCTTTATCTCAAAATTATAAATTTTGTAGGAATATGCGTATGTATGTGTGTATTGTTCTGAATAATTAATACAATAATTTCAAATTATTTCAAATTCGGTTGCAAAATATATGCATACTTTCGCTGTTAATGGCCAACACATTGCACAATATTGGGATAAAATTGTATTGTCCTACTATACTATAGATTTAATCTGGTGGAATAATCCTAAAATGTCATTATTGTTTCGCGAGTTTACCCCAATATAAATTTTTTTAATGAAAAATGTACAAAACTAACTGTTGCATATTAAAAGTCTATTTGACACTAAAATACTCCAGCACACAGTTGCTTTCAGTTGTTTTTATAGGATTAACATACTTTAACAGGATTTATTTGAAGTATATGTAAGGGATAGGAATATTTTAATAAAAATCCAGTGGGTTAACCCAATTTTTTTTAATAAACGTACTGTTAGTCTTCTCTTTCTGTCAAAAGTTTTTTTATGTGGAATCCATGGTACCATAAAAAAGTAAGGTAGAGCTACCAGCTGATTACAATTTTTTTTCTAAGTGTGCCCGACGTCTGCCAATTTTGTGTATGTTTCTATTGTTTTAAAAATGAAAACAAAATATTTTCAAATCCAATGACTGTAAGACACGTACATTGCGGATCGTGCATTAAAGTTATTAACCAGTTTAGCCATGAAATTGAAAGATTGAACAGTTTGGTTAATATTTTTGAAAGAAAATCCAGATATTTCATTAATTTTTTTATTTTGAATGATTCTGACAAGAAGCGGGCGCAGCCTCTGGGCTGTATTCTTGTAGTTTTACGAAGCTATTTTACCTCCTTCAAAAAGGAAGAAAACACAAAACGATATACTTCACTATTCCAATGTTGTAGATGAATATTTAGATTAGAAAATATATATTGTTATATATTTTTAATCAGAAAATTGTGTTTTGACGACAGCTGGCCTCACGGTGACTCCGAATACAAATATTCGTGAAAAGTTTTGTACGTTGTTTTAGGTAACGTTATAAGAAAATTTTCCTGTGTAAACGTCAGAATATATTTTAAAGTGTGCTTACATATAAAATCTCTACCCGGATTAACATTGATAATTTATTACTCACAATAAATTAAGGATGGTTTTATATAGTCTTATTTATTGTGATTGGTCAATCATCAGGATTTACCCGTATAGAGATTTGGTATGTAAACGTACTCTTAGCCGCCATTTGGAATAAACTGTCACACCCGCCGCCGATTGCTAATACTTAGTGAGCTGCCGTTGATTAAAAATTCACCCAGCTTCGCAATCTGTTGCCAAGTTCCAGTTGTTTAGTTATTTCATTTAAAAGAAAATTAATTGTCGAGAAGCAATTTTTAAGGGTACCAATTTTGTTTTTGTTCTCTAAAGTCTGCTGTTCGAAAAGTATTGTTTTTATTGTTACTTTTTCGATCATAGTCGGTTTTGTCGTTGTTTGCTATTATTTCCATTTCTTCGCATCTGTTCTCATTCTTCTATGTATGTGAAAAATCGAAGTCTGTTTGTTACGCTGTGCGTCTGAGGGACGAATAACTTGGTAAAATTACGAAGGAAATGCAAAATTTTGCAAATTAGCTTCTGCTAGAACAGGAGTATAATTGCTGGGCAACTTACTTATTAAAACGCCGAAAATATAAAATTTTAAGTGAAAAACGCTGTGGGTGTAGACATTTAACAGCGGACCAAACCAAGCGACACAGTGTAAGAGATTTTTTTGTTAAGCAGAAAGAGTTGTGTGCGAAAAACATAAAACGGTAAGTAGACGTCATTTTGTTTTTCTTTCATTTGCAATTGCACCATTTCAAGAGGTTGTGGTTGGCTGATGACGAATGATTGCTCACATACCGTCTTTAATTAATGTCAGTAATGCGTGTTTGTTTATATTCGGTTATTAACAAAGAAAACTGCGGAAGCAGGCTTTGTCAACATTCATAAGCTCTGCCGTAATTGCCAAACAACAACAGCTTTTTTCCGTTAAATTTCGATACTTGCTTGGTGTGATGCGATTTTCCTCTGAAGAGAGTGAAAGAGAGCAGAGAGAAGAGAACATACGTACATCCCCAACAGTAAAGTCGATGGACAGCACATTACTTTGTGTCAAGCGTTACGGACAGTGTTTCACGAAAGTTAAAATGCATAGTCCTTGTCTATACTCGAGTATTTATTAGATTTCTTGAAACTGAACGTGAAGGAGGTGAGGCTTCACCTAAAAAATTATTTCATGAAATTACTCGTGTTTAGTCTAGGACATAATGAGAACATAATACAAATACGAAATAGCTTTATGGGGAGACAGCAATTTTCCATGTGAAACTGTTGTTTTTGGCAAGCGTCTTGCATTTGTGTCGTATCGAAATGGTACATTTTTGGCACTCGTTACTTACCACTGGCTTTACACATTCAAGTAGCACTTCGAAAAATTTTAATTCATTTAAACCCTGCACGCACCAAGACAAGAATTGAAACGAAAATATATTGGTTACTCATCCCGAAAGTCAGATCCTTCCGGAAGAATTGGACCTTGCCCGTAATTGATGAAATAGTGTAAAGGGTGTTACTGATAACGATATGAATATTGCTACTATTTTCACGAGTGATAATATAAATATTGGACCAACGGATAATATTATATTGAATTATTTTTACTTCTTTTTCGAGAAATCTTAATATTTGTCATGTAAATGCTAAATGCTGATGCCCCTTTAATTTATATCCAAAATGGAAGAGTTTAAGCGTATTTTTATTGTTTGTGGTTTGGATATTTTGGGAAAATCTGAGACTTACTCTAATTCTCTAGGCCTTTCGAATTATACCCTAAGTAGAAATGATCGTTCCTCTTCAAGAGGTGGTGGTGGTGTATGCTTATAAATGCGTTATGGGGTTTGTGAGTTATTATTTGTGGACATTTCTGGTTTTCACTCTTCATTTATTGTGGCAGTGGTTACAACATGTTTGATACAATAAAATCCTTTATTTTCCGCTCCCTTGTATGTAGATGTGATCTTTATTACATTCATTACTCATTGCTCACTAGTCAGCAAAAGATGTTGCCTTCTAAAGCCAAATTCAATACCCATAGTTTTCTAACCACAGGCTGTTATTACTTTCTTTTAAGTTTAAATCTCAGGTGATGTAAATATGGATTGAATTTAAAGATTACAATAAATTTAGAATCAATGAGTATTTGTATATGAATTCGCATGTTTCAATTAAATCAGGCTAGAAAAGAGGGAGATAAGTCATTTTCCGTATTTTGCAAGGAATTCATGTGATGAAGACTGGAAAGCGGCTAAGGCAATAATTAGGAAGGTTGCCTTCCGATTTGGCAAACGTTTTTATATGGATGTTTATGGTTGATAAATGTATTGGTCGTGAACATTTTGAAATCAACGAAATTAATGAGTCCCTCGGATAACTTGTCTTTTGATTGCTTTGTTGATGTTGATTTATTCTCTTTTCGTTCTTTTACAGAGCATGAGCTACTATTATCTCTAAATGTTATTAAATCTTGAACTGGGCTGGACAGATTCTTCCTGCAATATCGCCAATTTCCTGATGCTTGGAAACTTGGACAAGTAATTACTTTACACAAAGATGTACATAACTATAATAAAATCTATAGACCGACTTCCATATTGCCTTCCTTATCCAAAATTCTTTTAAAACTGTATGTCGATTATTTTACTCATGCCTTTCAATACGAAGACAATATGTTTCAATTAAAGATTTAGAATCGTATATAGGCTTTGTGACTTACAGTGTTCCGCAGGGGTCCATTATATATCCGAAACTCTTTCCTTTTTAAATTAATGATGTAGTTACTGCCTAAGAAGCCCAATTTGTAACCCCTATGTTATTGCGGCTGACAATTTCCTTCTGTTCAAGTCCTATGATTCTGCCACAGCTATAAACTCCTACCTTTCTAAATTACTCCCTGTAATTAAATTAGAGAATAATCCTTTTAAGACCTGCATTCACGCACGTAGTCGTGGTTCATGTTGTTTCAGAAATCACATTGGTGCCACATTTATTCACACTGTAGATTCTATAAAATGTCTAGGCATAGTTATTATTTCAGGTCTTAATTTCAGTAGCCACTTAAATGATATTTCAAATAAGGTTTGTATTATTCTTAGAAAACTTTATAGCCTATTCACCAACAATTGTGAGAAACCAATAACATATTCGTTATTGATGTCTTTCGTTAATTACGGATTTGAGGTTAATAAAAATAAAATTGAGCGTATTGTTCGGAAAATAGTTGGATATGTGTTTCAAATTAGTATTCGTAATCACGTGCGTACGATGGAGCAAATTGAAGTATCCCTCTCATGTTCTTTTCGTGATTTTATAAATAAAGGGATTGTTTTAAATTTGTGTAATTTAATTAAATTTTAACAGCCTGGAATACTAGTTAATCGGTTTTTCGTTCATTAGTTGATTGCCAAATTATTGTACCAGGGTGACACCTAAAGAACAAAAAGTATTTAAGATGTAGTTATAGATTGAATATTTATTAAAAATGGTTGGGCAAACAATAATATTTTCAACGCACCTGGGTTTAAGCATTTTGACTTCACATATATTGGTTCCGGCAGTCCCTTCATAATGTTTATTTTGGTCATACGACAAAACAAGTACTCAACAACATTGAAATCTTTAAAAAGTCGATGCGACGATCGTTGTTTTCTATATTCTTGCCACTACTCTATTTTTTTCTACAATTTCCACTAAAAGAGGGAGAAGCGAGGGAACAGCAGCGTGGATTTGTAAGTACTGAGTATTTTAAGTTTTTCATGCCATATTTAAAAATAGACCAAATTCCCAGTGGGTTTCCCGATGACAATGCTAAATAAAGACACAACACATAGATTTTGAGTTTGAATACCATTGATTGTCTGCAGCTTGGCACATTGGGAGTATACTTTCCTGGGAGCAAATGAGGCATACGACAATTGCGATTTTTTTGGTAGCAGCAGTAATTAATTTTATGCATCGCTTAGTATTTTATTTGGTATTATTAAATTTTGCTTGAATGATTACTTGTGAATGTGGAAAAAATTGAGACACATTTTCTAACGCCTTTCTTTCCTTTTATACAGAAATAGTCGACTAACAAACTTCTGGACATTTGAATTTTGAACGTCGATATTGAAAGCACTGGTTGAGCGAGATGGCAGAAGACACGGAATACAAGAAGCTGCCGGTGGATGAACGATGTGTTCATAAATTGTGGAAGGCTCGAGTTGATGGGTATGAAGAGGCTGCGAAAATTTTCCGAGAAATAGACGATGAAAAGTCGCCGGAATGGATGAAATTTGTTGGTCTGATTAAGAAAATGGTGGTCGACTCGAATGCAATGGCGCAAGAAAAAGGACTGGAGGCTGCTTTAATTTTTGTAGAAAACTGTGGCCATGCTGGCAAGACAGTTGGTGATGTTATGTCTGGCATCGTCCAGAAATGCATAGCTGCGCCAAAGGCTAAGACAAAGGACCTGTCGGTCCAAGTTACCCTTATGTACATCGAAATTGAGAAGCACGAAGCCGTTCTGGAAGAGCTTGTAAAGGGGATGGAGCATAAGAATCCAAAAATAGTTTCAGCTTGTGTGGCCTGCACCACGCTAGCATTAAAAGAGTTCGGTTCTAAGGTGGTCAACGTAAAACCGCTCATTAAAAAATTAGCACCTTTGATGAGTGATCGTGACAAAGCCGTAAGGGAAGAGGGGAAGCAGTTAGCCATTGAAATCTATAGGTATTTCCATTATAACTGAAGCATTGATATCCAAAATAAATTTTGTTATAATTTGGTAGATGGATTGGCCCTGCTATGAAGCAACAGATATCATCACTTCCACAGGTGACTATTAAAGAATTGGAGGACGAGTTTGACAAACTTAAGGGTGAAAAGGCTGAACCTTCGCGTTATTTAAAGTCGCAACAGGAAAAACAGCAACAAATATCAGCAGCTGCGGCCGAAAGCAATGACAATGGAAACGGTAAGTTCCGATATAACGATATCTGGTACGTCAGCTTTAATATTTTACTTTCTACCTTTCCCAGATGACGATGTGGATGCAGGTGGTGAAGAAATAGACCCAATGGATCTTATAGATCCAGTTGATATATTGTCAAAAATGCCGAAAGATTTCTACGAAAAACTGGAAGAGAAAAAATGGACTTTGAGAAAAGAATCGCTCGAAGCTCTCGAGAAACTTTTAACAGACAATCCTAAATTGGAGAGCGGAGACTACGGTTCATTGGTTACGGCATTAAAGAAAGTTATCACAAAAGATTCCAATGTGGTTTTGGTGGCCATGGCTACGAAATGCTTAGCCATGTTGGCCAAGGGATTGGGAAAGCGATTTTCTCCTTATGCAATGGTAGGTTTTTCATTTTTATTGCGAATTGTTCTCTTCTTATAAGTTAACATTTTGCAGGCTTGCATACCTTCGCTTTTGGAGAAATTTAAGGAAAAGAAGGCGAATGTTGTTACCGCACTGCGTGAGGCAATGGACGCTATTTACCCGTCAACAAATTTGGAAGCTATGCAAGAGCATATAGTAGAGTCATTGGGTAATAAAAATCCCAGCGTAAAGTCAGAAACGGCTGCATTTTTGGCTAGAGCATTTGCTAGAACTCAGCCGACTGCTATCAATAAAAAGTTATTGAAACTTTTTGTATCGACCTTAATAAAAACATTGAATGAATCCGATCCCACTGTAAGGGACAGTTCCGCTGATGCAATTGGAACTCTATTGAAACTGATGGGGGAGAAACAAGTTGGTCCTTTCCTGGTTGATGTGGACGCATTAAAAATGGCAAAAATTAAAGAATGTCAAGAAAAGGCCGAAATCAAAGTCAAAATAGCCGGAATCAAAAAAGAAAGACCAGCAACAGCTCCAACGTCAGTTCCAGCTAGCAAGTCATCGTCTTCAACGACCTCCGCAGCACCAAAGGGCGGGTCTAGCGAACCGAAACCAGTAAGTAGGCCTTCAACCGCTGGAGCTAAAAAACCGGTACCGAAAAAGGCTGGCGTAAGTGGAGGATCGAGCGGAGCCCCTTTGTCAAAGAGTGCAAGCACTGCTAAGGTATTGGCCACAGAGAGGGAAATGGCACCTGAGGAAATACAAGGGAAGGCAGAGGAACTTTTATCGCCCGCAATACTTTCAGGACTCGTCGATTCAAATTGGAAAAATAGGTTGGCTGCCGTCGAAAGTTTGCTGCAAGAAATGCCTAATTTTGATACTAAAACTCCGGGACTATCTCAGGTATTAATCAGAACCATAAGCGGCCGCAAGCCTGGTTTGAAAGAAATGAATTTCCAAGTTTTGAAATTCAAATTGGACATAATACGAACCATTTCGGAGACCTGTCCAGTAACTGCAACCACAATTGATGTCGTTGTCAATGAAATAACGGAAAAACTGGCGGATATCAAAAATGGAGGTGCTGCTGCAGACGTATTGTCTGCATTTGCTGAATCAACTAAGCTTGAGTACGTTGTGGGCAAAGTACTATCCTTTGCATTCGAACAAAAGTCTCCGAAGGTTCAATCGGAGGCAATTAACTGGGTAAACAAGTCCATTCTAGAATTTGGCTTCCAGTTACAACCAAAACTGCTGATTGAAGATGTGCGAAAGGCAGTTCAAAGTACCAATCCAACGGTTAGAACTGCGGCGATAGGTCTAGTCGGAACAATGTCCATGTATATGGGAAATGCTTTGATGATGTTCTTTGATGGGGAAAAGCCCGCTCTCAAGTCTCAAATACAAGCAGAATTTGACAAGAACGTGGGAGAGAAGCCACCTAAGTCGATTAGAGGAATAAAGAAATCCGCTTCAAGTAGCGCTGGTGGTGGCGATGGCGATGCTGACGCCGATACAGGTGCAGATGATGAAGAAGACCAAGAACCAATGAACATTGCAGATTTATTGCCGAGAGTGGATATTTCTCCTCAAATAACAGAAGCCTTGTTAAAGGAAATGTCCGACAAGGATTGGAAGGCTAGAAATGAAGGTCTCAATAAACTTCAAATCATAATAAGTGAAGCTAAGCTGATTAAGCCAAATATCGGCGATCTGGCGCCAGCATTAGCCCTACGCTTGTTGGATTCAAATGCCAAGATAGCTCAGACTGCATTGGCGATTTGTGAGCAATTGGCTAATGCAATGGGACCAGGATGTAAGAACCACGTGAGAGTGCTTTTCCCTGGCTTTTTGCACGCTTTGGGGGACAGCAAAAGTTTTGTCCGAGCTGCAGCTCTTAATTGCATAAATAGTTTTGGAGAAAAAGGCGGCTACAAAGAGTTCTTCGAAAACGAAATGATTGCCGATGCACTAAAAGGAGGATCTCCCACACTGAAATCGGAGTTGTGGGCCTGGTTAGCCGAGAGACTGCCACAAATGCCACCTAAAAGTATACCAAAGGATGAGTTGACAGCAATGGTTCCACACCTATATGCACACATATGCGATCGCAATGCAGACGTGCGTAAAAACTCAAACGAGGCCGTCCTGGGTGTTATGATTCACTTGGGATTCGAAGCTATGGTAAAGGCCTTGGACAAACAAAAACCCGCTTCCAAAAAAGACATACAGGCAGCTCTAGATAAAGCGCGACCCAATTTGCCTGTTAAACCCCTGCCAAAGGGTAAGCAACAAGCGCCAATTGTGGAAGACACTAAAAAGTCTATTCGTGGGGGTGGCGGAGGGGGAGCAGCATCTGCTGGCCCCCAGAAGGGACCTGCAAGCAAGATCGCATCTGCTGCCAAGAGCGGCAGTTCATCATCGTCCAGAAAGAAGGAAGAAGACGTTGACACTTCCCCACTTCTAGCCGTTAACAACACCAAAAATCAACGACTAATTGACGAGCAAAAAATGCGAGTACTTAAGTGGACGTTCACCACGCCCAGAGAAGAATTCATCGATTTGCTAAGAGAACAAATGACAACGGCTAATGTCAACAAGGGGCTAATGGCCAACATGTTCCACGATGACTTTAGGTGGGTATTAATGCTCTCGAATTTTGAATATGTATATCTAACAAATCTAAATATTTTTTAAGATATCATTTAAAAGTCATTGAATCACTAATGGAAGATTTGCCCCAAAATCCAAAGGCACTGATCTGTAACTTGGACTTGATCCTAAAGTGGCTTTCTTTGCGCTTTTACGATACCAACCCTTCAGTATTAATTAAGGGTCTTGAGTATTTACATCAAGTATTTTTGGCATTAGTCGAACACGAGTACATTTTGGCAGAGAATGAGGGCAGTTCATTTATTCCTCACCTCCTGTTAAAGGTGCGTACACCAAAGAATTAACGGACCCATTTGTTTTTCACTAACAACATGTCATCAATTTCAGCTGGGCGATCCGAAAGACGCTGTGCGCAATGGGGTGCGATCGTTACTGCGACAAATACTCTTGGTTTACCCATTTGCCAAAGTATTTGTTTATGTTATGGAAGGTTTAAAATCCAAAAACGCCCGTCAACGCACAGAATGCCTGGATGAACTGGGCTATTTAATTGAAAGCTACGGCTTAACTGTTTGCCAGCCTTCGCAACAAGTCGCTTTAAAGGAGATCGCCCGTCACATATCCGATCGCGATAACAGCGTGCGCAATGCCGCTCTCAACTGTGTGGTCCAAGCTTACTTCATAGCTGGGGAAAAGATCTACAAACTCATCGGTCAAATGAATGACAAGGATTTGTCTATGCTCGATGAACGCATTAAACGAGCCAAAAAGCCTCAAAAGAAAGCTCCCGAGGCAAACACTAGTGCAAAATCAGCCGCACAAATAGTTCAACAGGACAGTATTGAAATTGAGGATCCTTCGACAAACGGTTGTGACGAGCTGCCGCCACCTGAAGAACACAACCAGAGGTAAGTGAGTCGTTAGAATGTTGGTTTGACAAATCTGCCATTATCCAATTAACTCGAGGTGGAACTGATTGTACTTATACAAATATTTTCTAATCTTGCTCGCCAATATTGCAATTTTATTTCCTAACTTTTTTCATTTCTTGCTTTAGTTCTGATTATGAAGCGAATGATGCAATTAATAGCTCGTTGGAAGAAAGAGATGTGTGCGCAACATCGCTCATACGACAAGCGTAAATTTCATTTTGTTTTTGTTTTTTTTTTTTAGTTTTTGTGTTTTTGTCCACACGTTTTGTTTCACGTCTATACCTATGTATATCATAATATTAACCTGTATCTGATGGACTACGTTATATTTTCGTTCAAATCTATTCTATATGAATTTGGTGTTCTTTACAATTGTTGTGATATGTTCGTTGGTCTTGGTCGTTCTGATAGAAATTATGCATTTGTTTATGCTTTACACCACTAGGTAGTACCCATAAACCAAATTAATTTTATGTTCTTAAAATGTTACGCTATGTAATGATGCAGTAGACATTTTGGTAGATCGTTCGTTGTTCTGTAGGGGATTGACTAAAGTAGATCTTAAACACTTTCGAAAATCCTTACCTTAATCCTTATTTTGGTTTGATTTAAACTTGCTCAGCTACATGGGTCGGCAGCTGCTTCACTCCGAGACTTTTGGTCCATTTTGTTTCATTCTAGGAAAAAGAAGTAATGGTGATCAAAAAGAAAGTTATAGAGTAGAGAACAAAGAAAAAAAATGAGGAAAGGATTATAAAATGTATTAGTAGCAAAAGGTCTGAGAAGATCGTTAGGGTTTCTGTCACCCAAGTACCAAATAGCCTATGTCTCGTATTTGCCTATGTCATCGTTGCCTCTTTTTGATCTTCACATAGTCTGCAATACTGCAACGGCCCTAGATCAGATCTGCCAATTAATAGAAGGGGGCAGGTTCTTCTCGGAATTACCTACTAGATGGCTTTAGATACCTTACAACCGGGATTTCTGTGTGTCATTTTCTACTAGCCTCTTCGATTTTGAAGCAACTGCTTCGGTGGTTTGAAAGTCTCACCAAGCTGCACATCAATCGGCTGTGAACAACCACCTCTACTCACTTCTTCCTCGCCATGTTAGTATGTCCTGGGACCCAATTAAGCTTAATGAAAACACGTATCATACACAGATTTCCTTAGATTCTCTTTTATAATATTTATGGGAAATATTAATATGTAATATGCTTTGAGGTGGTGTAAAGTATTTGGTTGTCGGCTATGTTCGACGTTAGTCCATTTTTGAAATTGCTCATATTGGTTCGTAGTCAATATTTGCCTTGCCGCTTTGCTTAACTAAAACTCACTCTGCATGTGCTCTGAAACTATTTAACCTTTGAGTTAAGTTCACGAGTGTCTGGCAATGTTTGAGCTTTGGTTTCGTATATACGATGTTTTATCTTGCTTCTCTATTAGCGGTTACGTGTTCGTTGAAATCAATTAGATGTTTTTGAGCCAATTTCGTTAACGGTTCCGTGGTCTCGTTTTATTCTATAGGACTTTTGACCAACCGAACTCTTCTCCCATTGCCACGGTACAACAGCAGCAACAACAACCGCCAAAAACAACTGGGCCCTTCGGCCTTGATCCCAACAAAATTGCAGAAATTGAAAAGGATTGGGTTCGTGTAGATCAAATCGAGAAAGTTGTGGTACCAAATGTGGATATATCCCTGCTCTTTGAACCGATAAAAGTCCTGCCAACTAAGGATGGCGTTAGGTATCCACAGGAAAAGTTTGAACAACTTTTGGCTCGTTCTCGTTACATGCAACAGAATCACACAACGCCTCCTCCGTCATCGGGAATGGGAGCAGGAAATGGCGGCATTATGGCTAACAATGTATCGCCCTATTTAAGTCCCCAGCAACAGCAGCAACAGTTCAACGCAGCCTTATACCAACAGCCATTTGGAAATAATTCCGCCAAGTATGCAAATCATTTGTGGTATGTTGAATGTGTATAATGCAATTGTTTCTTTATTTTTTAAGTCTGGCGGATGTATTGCCCAAGCATGACCCTCATTTGATCAAAATCATCAAGGCCACAAGCAGCACAGACACCTTAAAGGCTAGGGCTGCTATCAATGAACTCCAAGAGATTATAGATTCTCCTGAGAAGCAAGCTGTTCTCCGAGACTATGAAGAGATTTTCATACAGAATGTGCTCGCCCAGTTGAAGGTTGTCACTGCCTTGAGAATCAAACTTTAGCACTCTCGACTAAACATTTTTTTTTTGTTTTGCAGAATCTTTCACAAATTCCCATTTCAGAATCTCTGGTGGTCTACCAACCATTGCTTTCGATTTTGTACTCGTTTTTCTTATCGAAGACGTTGGGAAAAACGTTAAGTGTTGCCTGTATTAAAAATCTTATGTCGGTCTTGCTTCACCTATTGGCTGACCAAAAACTTAATACTGGCGACGATGGGCAGTACAACAAAGTTATCAACGGTATCTGTGTCAAGGTGTTGGATAAGTCCAACTTTACAAATATGAACTGGTAAGCTCTGTGTGGCCCCTAATATTAAACAAGCGAGTCATTGGCGCCTTGTCTTTTGTAGTGCACTGATACGTCTCTTACGCGAGACTTGCCCCGAGGCAGGACTACCGAAATTCACGGATCTGTTGATGAAATGTATATGGCGCAATGTTAAAACCCTGCCGGAACGGAGCAATGAGCTTAACTATGATGCTGTTATGTTGGAGGTTCATGAGTTTATGTTAGCCTTGCCCAGTTCTTGGTGGCAAACTAGGCCTTCCGACACGCCCCTTAGGACAGTCAAGACCATTATTCATAATATGGCAAAAGTGAAGGGAAATGCCATACTTCAACACCTTAATCAAATTCCTACGCATTCTGAACTCCACGCGTATTTAATAAAAATTCTGAAGGTATCCATATTGAACCATTGCCATTGTTTTTGCGCTCAAACATTTGTTCTTTGCTTTGTCCTGTGTCATTATAGAATCTGCAGAAGGAAGGAAACTTACCAAGCTCGTCGCCACAACGTTCTGTCTCTTCCAAAGATATGTTAGCCAAACAACGCATTTCAAACCAAGCTCACGAAACTATGTCGCAGATTTTCAAATTGATATCTGACAAAGACACAAAACAGCTGGGTCTGAACAAATTGTACGAATTTAAGGTAAGATGCTTCTTCCATAGACCATAACATGCTTTTCAATGGGATCACACTCATATTATCTATCTATCTATCTATCTATCTATCTATCTATCTATCTATCTATCTAAAACAGATGAAGAATCCAGAAATCGATGTATCCACTTTCCTCAAAGGAGCCAGTCCTAGTTTCCAAAAATATATTGAAGAGGGCTTAGCTGAAATACAACGCGCCGCTGGTGATGGAAGTGCAGTCCAAACTGCTTTGGCTTCGCAAATGGGTGACAATCGGCTGGGTAAGTGTACATATCAAAGCTCCACTCTGTACACAGTGTACTCACTATTAACACATTTGTATGTACTCCTCTGGCTTACGCCAACACCTGTTAATACACACATGCACACACATTCACACGTACATACGCAAACAACACATTTGGTATGATTTGAAAATAAAGCCATACGCCCTTCGTATCTAACAGATGCCAATTACCAAAATCAACAATCTCCTACTATATCAGAAAACTCCTCCGGCGTGAAGCCAGATCCCGACTTTTGGATGGACAGACTGAACCACTTGAGAGCAAAGGCTAATTTGGCGCCTCATCGTAATGCTGATGGCGTCATTGTTGGCAGTAATTCTCACTTTTCAATGATGGACAACAAGGTGATGGATGAGAATCTCAACTTGAATTCCATGAACGCCCAAAAAGTATCAGTGATGAGGAGAGATGTAAGTATATTTGGAATAAACTTCAACTGAAACAATTTGTTTGATGAATATTTTTTGTTTTTACTTTATTAATGTCTCTCTAGAAACCGGAAATGTCTCCCAATCGATTACAACACATACAGGCCAAATTGGCTCAAATAAAAAAGGAAAGTCACACCTAGATCCATCCAATATTTAAATATGATAGGGTTTATAGCCATTAACTAACACTGAGTATTTTATATTCCGGTCGTCTTACTTGAATGCCACACTCTGTAAAATGGAGATGGTATGGAAAAAAGCCCCCTCTCTCCCGAATCTCTACAAGGCAAAACCACGCACTAAACTCTCTAAGGAGAAGCATTTGCTTTCTCTCCCTCTTTTAAGCATATTAAAGAAAATAGCAGCCGTAAATAAAACAAACAATCTACAATCGCTTGTCGTGGCATGCTATTGCAACTAGATCGCGAGCCTGTCATAGTGCATTCAGGCCATGAGCTACCCTTTGTCAAATATAAGTATTTCGTCTGTACACCAATGACATAACTTATTTAAACAAAGCAATTTATGATACCGAAATATTTCAATCTTTTAACTTGAACACTAAACAAAACTAAATACTAAAACCCAAAAGAAAAACGTAATAATAATGGAATGAGAGAAAGTCGTAGAATGAACGCATATTTTCTTACTGAATATCACAGTCCTAGTTAAGAAACGTTTATAATTCTAAAACAATAGATTGCTTACAGAATTTGTCCTTGTTATTTAGTAGGAAATCTGTTTCGTTTTATTATTTATAAATTGATTGTTTGTTGTACTATAACATTTTGTTTCTGTTTTTCCTCATTCTTCGGAAAACTGTTAGGCGTAATTGTATCGACATATATTATCAAACCCAGTAATGGAGTGTACGATTTTCAGTGGGCCGAGCCCAACAGTCCTTTGTGGAATGTTTCGTTCTGAGTTGCGTGCGTTGTATGTTGGTGAACTACTGTCGTTATATTAAAATACTCACCATTTTCCACATGCTTATATTTATTAATTAACTCATACTCATTTTTTTATTATTAAAATAGCTTAAGCATTTTGTATTGCTAATGATTTCATATTGTTTTTTTTTAATTTTGCTAAAATTAGTTGGTAATTTATAATAAACCACTCTCTTGAAACTTAATATTTAATTCATACAAATATAATCGAATTATAAAATATAATAAAAAGAATATATATCTCAAACTGTCGTTGTTGAATGATTTTGTTTGTATTACAATCTACCTTTGCATTGAATGTGGTGGAGGTAAATAAGAAGTTAAGGTTGACAACATTGTTGCTATCGGTTGGTCTTAGCGACTAATTTGATTTCGTCGCTTACTTTCCGACAAATTTCGTTAATTGCCGAAACTTCCGACTTTTGTCGGTTACTCAAAAAATGAGTTAGAGAATTCCACTACGGGTTACACAGGATAGACTGTGTGAACCGACAATTTGGCAAGTGCTCGATTGTAGCACCGTTTTTGTGAATGTCTTAAGTCCGCTTTGCATAAAAACTGAAACTTTGAATCCCAAGTTCAGCTAATGAGTGTGAATGTCGATTTTTATACCCTACACCACAAGGTGGTCAGGGTATTATGTCTTTGTGCATTTGTTTGTAACAGGCAAAAGGAAACGAGATAGACCCATAGTTCCTTTTTATGGTCTGCATAGAATCACATTCTGTGTCGATTTATGCATGTCCGTCCGTCCGTCTGTCCATGTATTTTTGTAAACAAAGTACAGGTCGCATTTATTGCCCGATCCAGATGAAATTTTGCAAAGATCTTTTGTTTGGCCCAAGGACGAACCCTATTGAAATTGGAGATAATCGATCAAAATTTAGATATAGCTCCCATATATATCTTCGTCCGATTTGCCTTTTATTGTGCACCAAAATCCGATTTGTTAAATTTGTTACCCACAACCGTAATATGCACTCCGTAACAACGATATTCAGGGAAATATATCAAATACAGCTCAGAAATATCTTTGCCAAATATTATCGAGATCGGTTCAGATTTGGATATAGCTCCCATATATATAAATTTATCCGATTTCAAATTAATTGTGCACCAAATGGGCAATACAATTCCGAATTTAAAAGATACAAATGCTTCGGCATATTTAGTCCTTTGAACTTTAAATTATAATTATAATCATCGCGTGTATGATTGAATTCTCCCATAAAAACTTTTAATTGTTATGTGGAGCTCTACTTAATTAGCAAAGTGGTGGAGGGTATCATAAAGTCGGACCCGCCCGACTTTAAGACTTTCTTTACTGGTTGATTTCATACTACATTTCATCTCGGGATCCTCAATTGTTGTTTCCAAGATTTTCGTCTGTAGTTGACGAGAAGGCGTTTCTTGTGAGAGTTGCGTGATTGTGGAATCAGCTACCTCTGACCTACGTAATTTTACATTTCCTGTTGATATATATAGAGGAAGAGGTATTTTGAATATATGTCTATTCATTGAGTTTCTGCGTGCCGGTTATATTTTGTTATTTCTGCACCATCCGGATCTTAACTGAGCCAATACTACTCGGGTTTGTTGGGCGGCTCTCGCTCTTCAGCTGCGATGGGGAGGGGAATGTTCTCCTAGTACAGTATTTGCACAACATTCTTCCAGGTTGAGGTTGATTATTGCATTGACAATATTTTATCATGCTGTCGCACCAGTAAGACCTTCGCCTCCTCATGTAGGTGGTCGACAGGTGTCATGAGGAGGCACCCTGTTGCGGTTCTAAGAACGGCATTTAGGCAGTACTGAATATTTTTCCACTGCGTAGCACTAACGTTGGCGCATCACACCGGAGCCGCATAGCTTAGCACAGGCCTCGTTGTAATAGATCAACAAGCCAGAGGCAGAGACTTGAGAACCTTGGCCTAAGCGTGATATTAAAGTTATGTTGTGGTGCTTCGTTCGTCATAGATGTTTTTGCTTGCAAATGTTGACCTTTAAAACCTGGCCATACTTGTGTGTGTGTTTTTTTGGTGCTGACATCTCTATTGGCCTCTTTAAAATGAGTAAAATAACAAAGTCCATCTGTCCAGTTAGTTATTTAAATATATCTATTTTTATTTTGTCAAAGCGAAAATAAAGCAACAAATACAACGCATTGTATATTGTGTAACAGTGTAACATTAACAGCAACAGCAACAACAACAGTCTAAACTAATTCAGCTTAAGATTCTTCGCCCGACTCGGCATTTTCTGCCTCCTCTGTATCATCCTTCAACTCCTTGGGCTTCGATTTTTGGTTGTCAAACCGGGACGAAATGGTTGCAACTCGAATAGCAGCTTTGAAGCCAACCTTCAAAATAGAACATTAGAAAATGAAGACGACAGGAAGAAGAAAAGAAACTCACCTTGGCCTTCATTTTTGCTAGTTTAGCTTTCCAATTCTCATCTCGTGACGGCAAGGCATTCAACCATTCGACCATGCCTTCCTTGTTGGGGTCCACGATGGCCAGCGTTGACAGACATCCATCCACTGTGCCCAGAACGAGACAACGGCCATCTTTGCTGCTTTTTATTGCCGTCAACTCGGCCTGCATTCGATAGTTGGCGATCATTTCGGTATCCGAAGTGCGGAATACGCGGATGGTTTTGCGTCCACTGTGGTAATAGCACACGTATTCGTCGTTTTCCGTAAAGATGCATATCACCGAAAATACACCCTCGGCAACTTTGGGTATGAAGGTCTTGACCGTAGTGCCCTTACGTAGTTCTAGCATTTCGAGGCCACCACGAGTCGGCGCATAGAGGCCACACTTGCCGTCCTTTGTGATGCTGCCACCCCATTTCGGTATGGAGCGTATGTTCTTCTTGGTTTTTATGTCAATGATGTTGCCCTTTTCACTGCTTATCACCGCTATTTGGGAGGCCTTGTGGGGCATGGGGACGAGGGAGATGACTTCCTTGATGTTACAACCTTTGAGCAGGACCTTTGTAACGAATGTGCCGTTTGAGGCACTATACACAGCCAGACAATCCTTGTTCGATTTATCCACCGAACAAGCAATTATGTGCGCCCCGTCGGCCGAGATCACCGACTGACGGAACGATAAACCGGGCACCATTCGTATGGGGTATTCGAAACGGAACAGAATAGAGCCGTCTAAACAAGACGTTATTTGGACGGGCGCAAACTATTGGACAACACTTGAGTACTTACCAGGTACTGATCTTACAGTGGTTGTGGCCATTAACCGGCCGCTTTCCTCTCCTTCTTTTGATTCCTTCTGATTTAAATTCGGGCACGACACCGTCATGACCTTATAGCCATAGTCCATGAAAGTGATTTGCTGAATGCCGGGCTGGTCGTCTCTGTATATGACCTGTTCGGAGACCCGGTTCCATATGAGAAACTTACCCGTTTCCGACGAGACGATGTAGCGACCGTCGGGGGTGATTTCTGCATGGGTCACAATGGCACCCAAGGGGCTGTCCGCCAATTTGGTTATGAGCCTGCCGGTGCGAGTCTCCCACACACCAACACAACTTCTCGTTACTGTCACGGCCAAGTCGACCTCTGAAAGGCTGTTTAAAAACAATTAGCTGTTCCAATATCTTCAGGAGGCCTCTGTATACACACCTTATATCATCGATTTGAAGCTCATGCCGATCGATGACGTGCACCTTTTCGAAAATGTTGTTTATGTTCCAAACCTTAACCGAACGGTCGATTGACGATGTAACAACGTTATTCCAATTGCCGATCGTCAGGGCCTCCAACTGAATTATGCGACCGAAATGAGCATCCAGCACCTTTGCCAGCTGCAGGCTTTGCAAACACCAGACGTAAAGATTCTTTCGCACCCCAGCGACGGCGTAGTCCATCTTCGAACTGACCATTATGGAGTTGGATTGCATTATTTTGGTCGTGATATTGCGAACTCCGTGAGGCAATGCCAAGTACATGGCACGATCGCTGAGTCGGTTGCCTTCCCGATCACCAAAGTCCCAAAGGACAAACCCCTTGCCGGCGGTGCCCAAGAGCATGCGATCCTTCTGGTCTAGACGCAATTGTAGTAGCATTTCCTTTTCGTCGTTTTCGTAACGTGGCAACGACTCTTCCAATCTCCAGTCTATGGATGAATTTTCCTCCGAACCATCCACAAAGCGATAGACACTAACTTCATAGTTGTCCTCATTGGCACAGCCATAGAGCCGATCTCTGGCCTTGTTAAGGGCCAAGGCACTGTAGAATTGTAACGGTTCGGTGTACAGATCCCCTCGGCGACACGACCCAAACCGTATGCGGGTCTCGTTAATCGATCCCGACCAAAACGTTACATTGTAATCATTGGGCGTTGTGAATTCCATGTTCAGAATTTCCCATCCCACGCAACTGCCGGGAACTGCAAAGATGTCCACTAGATTGCCGCGCATATCGAACTGGGCCCATTTAAGCTTGCATGTTATGAACAAACTAAAAGAACATTTGCACTTCTTTGAGACTGCCCCCAGAAACACGTCGTGATGGATGCTACCTACCTCTGGTTAATCAGATACAGACTACTTATGGGTCCGTCGTTCTCATCGAAGGGCGTGTCTATGACCACAAACTCACTGGAGAGCATGTTGAGCAATACAGTCTGATTGTTGTTGGAATAAGCTGCGGCCCATTTGTTGTCGGGACTCAGAACGAGCTGTTGCATTATACCCTCAATGCCCGGATTGACGTCCCGCGTTAGATCTGACGTTGAGAGGTCAAAGGTTATGAAGTGAGTGGAAATGGAGACCATGTAACGCATGTCACTTGTCAGCGTAAAGCCAAAAACTGCAAACTGATGTCCCTCCAAGGAGTACTAAAAGTATGGAAATGAGGATAATTGTTCCATTCGAACATCGACCTGGTTCGCTGGGTTGGTGGACCTACCTTCAGAGGACCGCCTGGCGTATGCAGGCAATGGTTCACGGGTATCAAGGCACAGTCCTTTGGGCCACACTGGTCGCACGCTCGGAGCAACATTTTTATGTTTGCATTACCTCCAATTTCCGGCAACAGGCGCCCGATCAGCTGCGGAGCTAACATATTCGGGTAGACAGCCAATATGGCGCCACCCAATCGGAGGGCGTCAGCCACCAGCATCAGTTCCCTTTTCGCCTCTTTGTCCTCGGTGTTGCAGGAGGCATCTTCAAAGTCGGCCAATACTGCTTGTAGGGGGCAACTAGACAATTTGGCATGCAGCCACTCATAGTTGAAAAGAACATGTTCGAACAAATCCTTGAAACGTCGAGATCGGACGAAGTGGAAGGGCAGTTCGCCAAACTGGAATGTCAAAGTGAAATCAAATTAAAAGCGATTAAAATCGCATGGAGGGGCAAAGGCCCCAATGCAATACCTTGCGCAAATTGTATCTCTTAGCGCTGCCATCCTTGCTGGTGAACACCAATGGCTGGATGGGCACCTTACGATCGGCAGCGCCCTCTTTCTCCGTCAGACCGAACCGGTGCCTTTGGATCTCCGTAAACTTGAAAGGCTTGGGCACACCACCACCCCAAATGCCCAGATAGTAATCGGCAATCATCGAATGGAAGTACATAGCCATGTTCATGTTCTTGAAGTAGCGCTCCTTGGCTGTGTCGCGGAACTGCCTGTGATACCAGTTCATGACATTGACGCCATCTGCTTCTCGCTCACTCAGGTAATTGGGCAAGTCGTTGCGTATTCGGGTCCACAATAGGGGTGGTATGCGTCGGACGGGCGGCAAATGGTACTGATAGACGTCATCGAGTACCTTGTCGTCAAGCGATATCAAATCCTCCAATTCGCTCTCGGAGAGACCCGATTTCGAAGCCGTTATGTATGCCAGTGCATGGAAGACAAGGATACGCCCGTGCTGTTTCTCAACCCTTTCGAACAGTAGCATGATCGAGTCCATGACGTTGTTCGCCAAGTGTGTCTCCTGGGGCCGAGTGTAGGAGCGCCAGCGGCATATTTCGGCGAATACCAACTTCACAAAGATCGGGAGCGAGCATTTGCTTATGGCATTAGCCACCAGACGCCACTGATAGTTGTTCAGATCTCGGCACGCTGTCTTCATCCACATCTTGATGACATTCATGGCCAGATCCTCGCCCAAGGCGGTGACCTCGATAAAGTTCTCTTCCACGTCGATCATTTTTCGCAGCACATGGTATTCGCGCGAGACAACGGGGTTGCTTTCTTCGTTCGCACAGGATATAACGATCTGTAGTTGATTGAAGGAAAAACATTGGATGCCAAAGGGGAGCGTTATAACACAAGAATACAATTATAAGTTGGCCCGATAGTGGACCAATTGTCCAAACTGATGGTCGATAGTTTCTTGATTGATTGGGCGCCAGTTTACAAAATCCCCCACATCTGCCTCTAGACTTGCCAATTTATCGTAGCGTGCATTTCTTATAACTGTACTCTTTTTAGTGGTTTGTGTTTAAGGTTGTGTGTGTGTGTGTGTGTTTGTATGCATGTGCATGGTCGAATTGTCGTTAAGTCTGATCGGGAAATCGAAATCGTTACTCAAATTCGAATTTAGCAGTCACAGTTCAAGCAATTTGGAAAAACTTATTCTAGCCGAATGCATACTGTTTGACTGTCCTCTCCGTCTGGGCCGTGCACACTTACCTTGCAATGGGGCGGCAGTCGCGTCGGTATCCACGACACATTGTTGGAGTCTTGTGTGCCGGTCAGCTGATCTACAGAATCCAAGTATAGGGTCAATGGCTGATTCGGACTTGCATAAGTTAGTAATTGCTTAAAGTGTGCTGTTAAAGGTACCAAATCGTCGGGGATATTCTCGAAGGGCAGAAGGTAGTTGTAGGAGATCTACAAAGAAGAATTAAGCTATTGAAGCCGGGTGGGCAATTGCACAATTGCCGCTGCAGTGGGCCTTGTGAGTTGTGGCGTAGCGGAGAGGCCATTGGGGCCATGCTGATGATACCTACCTGCTGACAAATCGATATGAGCGTGGGGGTCAGGGCGCTGGAGTCCGGTGTGGTGCCCAAGAAGCGTATTATATTGACGGGCCTTTTGTCTGCAAACCACTCGCCGGCAACCAATGCGGCCGTCTTAGCCAAGAGTGAGGTCTTGCCACAACCTCCTTCGCCATAAAGGACAAGTGGTTTATCTGAATCCTCCAGCATGTAACGCTTGATTTTTTCTAGACTCTCTTCGCGTCCATAAAACACCTTAACCGAATTGTTGCAAGCGTGCAAATGCTGAAGGATTTCAGTGACTATCTGTCCCTGTGCGCTGGAGTCCTCCTTGCGCATCGCCCGATCCACCAACTTGACGATGTTCTTGTAGAAGTGCGATATGAAGTGGTTCAAGTACTCCTCATGCGTTTCAATGTCAAGGCCCTCGCGCCCTATCCACTCGACAGTGTACTTCTGCATGTTACTCGATTCGATTTTCGCCGGCAAACGATTGTCCCGCAAGTCACCCAATAACTTGGCCGACTCTGTATCCAAGCTGCGGTTGATGATGTCAACGAACAGCGAGGCCTTCTTCAGGTTCTGCAGATTGATGTTGTTGATGTAACGGACATAGGCCAGGCAGTGGTTTTTCGTGTTCTTAACATTGAGGACGCCGTTGATGACTTCACGTTCGGTAACTGCGAACAAGACGAGTATGAGTATTATCGGCACTTTTAACAATTCGTCGAATTCGTAGAGACATAATATATGAAATGCTATACGGTTTTGTTTGATGCTCCTGCCAATGGACGACTTACTGCCGGAAATTCGAGAAAATCTATGATGTGCAGTAAGAGTCTTGGTATCGTTTTGGGGGTCACTCGAATGATAAGAACTTTGGAGCGTGTGACTTTAAAATTCTACTGCACAACATTTTCTCGAAAATTCCGCAGTACTTCGTACAACATATGACAATGATATTTCGGAGTCATGTTATGATACTAAATGACGTCGATAGGTTAGACATCGACACAGTTGTGCCCTCGAGCAAACGAATTGAGCACAACTCGATCCATACACGCACGATTTAGTCAATAAAAAAGGGTTCTACAATAGCTTGAATCCATGATTTTAAAATATTAACAAAGATGACAATATGTGGGTCGCATTTACAATGTGACACAGTAATTAAAATCACACATGTCGCTCATTTGCTTAAGCAAGTCGAGTCAAAATTCTAGTCGAGATACCTATTTAAAATCGATTTCGCTAAAACCCTATACCACGTTTCCAATGCAACACTTAATTTTTCATGGAATCTTTAAAAGACGCTTTCTTCGGAATAGAGTATCCTCAGATATGGCACACTTAGATGGGCTCAAGCCGTCGAATTTGATGTCCATTCTAATGACCGGTTTGCTTTCATATTTGATGCGACAGCTTGGCGATGACATGTGACAACGAATCTGTTGGAGAATATCTATTTACCTGACATAAAATAATTATGCACTGCATCTTTGTCCATTTTGCCACTCGCACCCAACGAGGCAGCTGCCTTTCTGAGTAATTTTTGCATCTTGCCCAAGGTGTCCCACCATATGGCCTGATCCTCGGCTTGCAGTTTGGGAACCCGCTTATTATTGAAGTTGATGAGAATCGACGAAATGGGCTGTAAAACTGAAATGGGTGGCACTGCGTTGCTATCCTTTTTATACCACAAATCCAGGAGGGCTCGATCCACACCCATCGATGTTAGCTCCTCACAGATCAATTGCAGTTCCGACGAAAGGATATAGGTCGGGATTGGCCGATAGCCGTACTTCTGGCCTAAAAAAACAACAAAATTCGGACCCATTGAAAGTCGCTGGCAGTTCTTAATTTCGCGCATGCACAGTTCAGTGGTCATGTGATCATCGGTGGCTTCGTCACGAACACCCCAACGCATATCCACGACCTGCAAGAATAGGAACCCACACACACGCACATACGTACATTTCAGAATTAGCCTTGGAGTTATGCAATGTCAGGTTGTCAGCAAATACCTGAAATTCCAAACCGTGCTTCTCCCGACAATAATCCTTAATGCGAGGATAGCACTTGGCCATTAGCGAGTTCCTTTCCATGGTGGTGTCTTTAAGGTGCCAAAAAAGAAAAAAACAAAACTTAACAATCTTATGTAATGGACAGAGATTGTCACGAAACAAAAACACACCCGTAAATGTGGAACTAGTGAAAATTCGCACAATTTTTGAGCTGACCGGAGGCAGGGACTCCAAGGAGCCCGCAAATATAGAATCTATGGTCTTATCATCCATATTTGCTTTCGAATAGTTTAACTGGTTTTAAGATTGAGGAGATTTTAACCGAGCCCACGTCTACATACGTCTATTTCAAATGAAAGCTCCGCGTAAACTCCATTGGCCTGGTGTCTTCCAGTTTGAATATGTTTGGTCGATATTTTGGCAATCAAAATAAAACGAGCGATTATTTGTTTGACAACCGGAAACCCCTAGTAACCATGTTCAACTCGGGGACCAATCTATCCCCACCTTTGTTAGGCGTTGCCATGTTTTCCTCGAGTGCAACAGGTGCGTGCCAATGAGCTCGACCAGACGTCATTTTAACCGAGAGCATTGCGTGCTGAAGTCAATCAGAGTCTCACACTTTTACGGACTATCGGTGGCAATCAAAAAGCCAAACTTTTTGCACGAAATTCAATCTAGTGCCGTTCCCTCAAACGTGAGGAATTCAATTTCACATTGAATGTTATTTATATCGCCCGAAATACCTTTTTGAAGTGGGAGTCGTAATTGTACACTACTTTCAAACCAAGCATATCCCAACAGAAGACAACCATCAAAAATATGATCTTCAATTAAATTGACTTTAGCAGCGTCTCTTTTGAGCTGATGCGCAAGCAGGGTATTATGAAAAAAGAATTAATCTTAAGTTCTTGATCGGCTTGGCACTCTTTACACATTTTATCTACTTATGCTGTCAACTAATATACCCATGTATACCTTTAAGACTAAGATGAACAAACAGTACGTTTACGGTGGTCTCAGTCGTTGATTAGACTTCAACGAATGTAGACATGCGTGGGGGATGCACGCATTGTTGCTCCTTTAACATTAAGAAAGCAAATTATAGATAGCTTTTGTAGAAAAATATAAATATATGGAGTTTATATTTAATGTTTTTTGATAATTATGCTAACATAAAATTCTTGCTACAAAACGTCCAAAACAAGAAAGGAGATATTTTTTACTTCTCTCACACACATAAGCGCAATGTTCATTTTGTGCATCATAGCTTTAAGTCAACTAATATGTCTGAGATTTTACGCTCATTTATGTAATCGTTGGCACACACCAAAGAATATATAGACACGAAAAGTTAGTTTTGTCTTTTTATCCAGGTGGTATACATCATGTTTTGCATAGTCAACATGCTTATTTACGCGTTCAACCAACTCGACTCCGAAAACACATTTTATCGTTTTTCACGAATTTCGCGATCCACGTTTTTTTCGAAGATAACCGGGTAGAGCATTTCGTTGTCTATATTTTCATTTGTCATAAAGGCTCAGTACCTTGTAAGAGAGAGAGAGAGAGAGAGAGAGAGAGAGAGAGAGAGAGAGTTATCTCTCTCACGTACAACGGATGTAAAAACTTATCGATCGACAAAATGAATGCGCTACGCTTTTAAATTGTTGAGAAATTGTTACACATTTGATTTGAATGCTTATTATGGGAAAAATAAATAAAATATTCAAATAATTGCCAGATTTTTTTCGGTTGCTTGATTATTGTACAGATGTTAAGTTTGTTACACAACTGTGCTGCTCGGATATAGGCACTTGTATGAAACGCTATTCCTAGCAATTCGCTATTGTATGCACTTCACGACATTGAACTTGTAAATCCTGTACATTGACGTTTCACTTCTATTTCATAATTAGTAATACAGGACACGCAACAGAGTAAAATGTTGAACTTGTTGCCTTTACGCTACGAAACAAAAACGTATTTCCCAGCCTAACTGCCAAGGGGGGAGAGTTTGTTTGATTATTGTAAACTCATGAGTGTGGAGAATTGGGATCTGGGTTAACACGTTATGCAGTTCAGTTATTTAACCCTTGACAATCCCCGAAATGTTTGTACCTGTGTAAAGTATTACTTTATTATATTACTGAAGGCAAAACTAAACCAAACAAACACTTTTAATTAAAATAAAGTTTCTTGCAGTTGTATTTTTTTATTAATATTTATAATTACATTGAAAATGAATCCAATCATTCAATACAGCATGGCCGGTTCCCCTTTTTTAATATAATCCACAGGTGGCTTTTCAATATATTCCTGTAAATAATCCCAGCAAAGTTTAATGGAACGCTTCTATTTGATGCAACGAATCCACTCCATTAAATCCATTAAAGATTTCTTCAGCTAATAAATTTTCTAGTTTCGGACGAACTATCGCATTAAAATTGGTGATGATCGGTTCTGAATTCGATATAGCTAACATATATATCTATGTTATAATGTTTGTGTCCAAATGCGTAATAAGTGATTAAATAAGATGCATTCGCGGTATTCAGTCTACAAGTAAGTCTGTGAATTTTGTTAAGTTAGTTGATTGAGATCGGTTCAGATTTAGCTCTCAGACATATGTGTCGGCGGATATGATGCACATAGTATAGCTATCATACATTCGATATCAATATATCATTATGAAAGCCAGTGGAGATTTTTCAGGGTGCTACTTACATAAAACATTTTCAGTACTATGAAATGAAAGACACGGTCACATTTTCATTTGTTGTTTCGAGTTAATAACAATATATTTTTCGCGATAAAATTATGCTTCGTGTATGATGATGATACGAATGGGTGTTATTAGTTGTTTTTTTTTTTTTGTTTGTTTTTGCTTTTGTTTTGTAATACAATGAGTTAAAATGTAAAAAAAATTTATTTAGGATTTCGTATGACAATTAATTTGGAGTTTGTTTTGTTCTTGCTGTTGCAATATGACAAATATGATGATTACGTTGTATTTAGTGGAACATAGGAATTTCAAGATATAGGATAAGATTGGTTAAGTTAGTTTTGTTATAAATGGTTTTAAGTGATATTGATCTAATATAAATTACGATGATATTAAATATATATATGTATAAATACTTTGATATGTCATTTTATTAAAAAAAAAGCATAATAATTCAATAGCTATTCTACCGTGGCCGATTCCGATTACGATTTCGACTCCAGAACCAGCGCTTGGTAATAATTTTAATAATCGTAATAATAATAACAAACAAAAAATTAAATTAAGATTTCAAACAATTATTTATTTTTTAATGCGTGTTTTACTACTATATTTCTCATTACAATTCATGTTAATTCATTTATAATAAATATTTATATTTATATAATAATTATTATTAAATTCAAAAAAAAAAAAAAAAAAACACTTTAAATAAATATCTATAATAATAAAAAAAATAATCATATACATACATAAATACAGAAGAAAACGAACGCCAATGGTGTGGTTCCGAAAATGAAATATATAAATTGAACTAAAGCAGTAAAACAAAAGAAACAAACAACTAAAAAGTAAAAAGTGTACAAACAGATAAAATGTAAACAAAACACAATGCAACCTTGGCTTATGTTTATATAGTATAAATTTATATATATACGAAATTAAAGCATTTGTAAACCTTATTCGACGTTTGTGTATATTTTGGGTAGTGGCTGGTCTCCGTACATACATATATCTCCTTCCATTCAATATCGAAGGCTGAAATATGAAATTGGTTTGTGGTAAAAAATAGTAGTTATTACTTTGTTATTCATTCGTATGTTTCATTTGAGTTTGATCCGAAGTAACATATTCGGAAGTGGTGGTGATGGTGATGGTGTTATCGAATGATTGGGGTGTCTGGGCAGCAATTGTCCGTTGCCTTGTAAACTTATCAATCTTTTCTAATATCCTTATGTCTTCACTAGAATTAAGTATGAAAAGTATGGAAAAATTGTGCCGCTTTAGTTTAATCTTATTCCGCAAGATCCTTTACAACCAATTATTCATGTGGTACCCGTGCTGGTGTACCATATGTTGTATCTTATGTTGACACTTTTAAAAGATTCTTATTCTTGATTAGCGAAGTCTGTGTGGGGTGGTCTTCGGGTAGCTTAGAGGCCAAAAGAGCCTGCTTATGTATGTGGGGCGAGGAGGGTGAAGTCAATGTGATTCTACAACAGATAAAAGACAACAATTTCGTTGGTATTGGTGGTGGTAATGCATTCTGAAAAGCGGATGGCAAAAAGCTGCGAAAGCAAAGTGTCTTTCTGCGTACCGCTTGTCTACAAAAATTAGTCAAATTCTGTTGGTTCAATGCCTGTCAAAATGCTGTGGTTGGTGTTATTGATTGGTGAGCTTAGGTGGCTGCGTTGTAGCTTTTGCAAAAACGTAAAGCGCATGTTTAATCAATGGCCTCTAAGTGTTGGCAACTAGCAGCTTTGATAAAGTTCCATATGAAGTTGCCCAACACCTACCTGGGACTATTCTCAGATTTCTCACGCACTAATGTGGTTGTGGTGCTGACAGTCGGACCACCGTTGTGTTTCTGTAACGATTGTCTTCGTGTCTGAATGGGCTTAAGGCGTTCCTCCAAATCGCTAATGGAACCATCGGTGCTGCGGGAATCATCACTGTAAGAACAAAAATTTATAGGAAATTTGTGCGCCCTGAAGCATTTTATTTTTACCTATCCGACAAATCTTCATCGCCTTCTTCCATAGCCTGCTGCAGATCTGCTATACGCTGCAGTGCAAGCCGTAAGTCGTTTTTCAAAGCAGAAGCCTCTGCTTCCACTTGTTCTACTTTCTTTTCCAAGTCTTTGCGTTTGGCTGTGGACTCCTGTTCTCTGCCGGAAACAGCATGGAACTCCTCACGTAATTCCCGTAGACTTTTTTGTGATTTCTTGAGTGCCTCTTGAGCCTGCATCTCTCTGACCTTTGATTGTGATAATTCGTTTTGTAGTCTTTCTATTGCTTCTTTTTGACGATTCACTTGGACTTCAAGACGAGACCTTGTGGCCTGTTCCAAATCCAAGCGGGACTCCAGCTCTTTTGAGCGCAATTCCAACCTAAAAGAAATTCCCGAATATACTTGAAATGGCTAGTTCTAAAGGCAAAACGTACTATCCTTACCTTTTAGAGTTCATTGCCGCCGACGGATCGGCTAAATTTTCTATATTTTCCAACCTGTGTTGCAGTTCGTTCACTTGTTCTTTGAGACTGTTGCGTTCGGCCTCCAGTTCTGACAACTTGAATTCATATTCCGAAGCTGCAATTTGTTCTGTGTTCAATTGTTTAACTGTGGCGCTGTACTTCTTCATTAGTTCGGCCAATTCTTCTTCATTCTCCTCGATTTGGGCTTGGAGTTCGCCTCGTTCTCTTTGGGCCGCCGTTGCTCTGTCCTCAGCCTCATTACGGGCCCTATTGGATTCCTCATACATGGCTTGCATATCGGCCAATTCAGCTTCAGCTGTTTGACGTGCTTTCATGGCCAGTGTCCGTGCAGATTCGGCATCTTCCAGTTGGTTGCGCAACTGCCTAATCAATGTTTTCCCAGGTGTGTCGGCCTTTAATCTCTCCAGCTGGGCATGGGCGTCCTTGAGCAATGCTTTGTATTTACGTAAATCGCGGCGTAATTTTTGATTTGCCGCCTCTTCGGCTTGACGATCGACACGATCTTGGTCTTCCATTGAAGCCAAACGCCTTTCAAGTTCATGTTTCTCCCTCAACAACAGTGTCCGTTCTTCATGCTCTGTTTCCAGTTGACATTCGAGAGCTGCAACAAAATAGGTGTTCTCATAAATGTCATTGATGTGGTAAAAAAATTGTCATACCTTTAATTTTCTTGTACGCACAGCCACGGGCCTCCTCAAGTTCCTCATCTCTCTGCTGAGCCTCTCTGCGCGCCTCCTTGCGCATAGTCTCCAATGTCATTTCCAAGCGAAGTTTAGCTTGCTCTAGTAATTGCACTTGACCCGCCATTTCGTCCAATTCCTCCTCCTGTTCCTTGACTCTACGATCCAACTCATTCTTGGAGCGCCTCAGTTGAGCAATCTCTTCCTCCGTGCCACCGCCAAAAGTCATCTCTTCCAATTCTCGTTGTAACGAAGCCAACTTCTCCTCCTTGAGATCGAGCTCAAGGCGAGTGTCCTATAACGATGAAAATTAAATGAGCCAACGCGGGAATACTACCCTCCAAAGAAATTTGGTTTTTTTTCTTCAAGAACAAGTTCGTACACACTTTTAGACATAAATTGTTAACTCTTCTTTTTCTTTTTTCTACTTCGCTTGAAATATTTTTAATATTGCTTTTTATTCGCTCGCTTTGTGAAATGGGAATGGTAATAAACAAAGAGTGTACACTGAAGACATCCTATAATAACTTTGATCTACATTATGTGTCGTTTACCGCTTGTCCCTTGCCTTGCCTCGCCTCACCTCTCCTCTGTTGCTACAGAACGAAATTAATTAAAAATGTCATGTTTTCACTAGTTAACAAAACTAATAAACAAGAATATATTCTTGTATATGTATATATGTATGTATGTATGTATGTATGTATGTATGTATGTACGTACGTATGTACATTTTGTACAAAATTTGTATATATGTATGTACGTATGTACATAGGGAACATACAAACAACATGAAATACGCACACACACACTGACACGCACACTACTAACATTGACGACGATCAAATCAAGCTGAAGCCACTTAGCGATGAGAGGAGGGTCAAGCAAGCAGCCGCACATATCTGTGGGTATGCCACAGATAAAACAACTAAAGAATCTGCTTCTGCTCTGTAGACACAGATAACATACTTGCAACAATGCCGCACATGTAGTATAACGGAGACTCATAGTCTTGATTGTTCGACAACGATCAAACGCACGACACAGTTATCTATCGGCTAACAATCGCTCAGTCCTTTGGTAAGTGTTTTCCAAGGCTCCGCATATATCGCCAAAGTTCACTTAAAACGACATTTGCACGAATTTGAGACACATTTATTTGAATGTAGTCCAACTCAATATAACTGCAGTTCTGGAATTCGCAGGCTATCGCTAGTGGAATATGGTCTTCCGTTTTCTTTACGCAGTACCAACCATCAAGCGTAGTCTTCACTGAAAGAATGCTCTGAGAATAATGTGAGCATACTGTGTCTGGGCTGTACTCAGAGCAAGCTTCTAGATTCGTACGAACATCGAACATGCTATGTATGCATGGTATGTTCGTACAATATCCACCACGCTGTGCATATACATGCCGCACCACTAGCTATCCTATGCGGCAGTGTTGAATGTGGAGAAAGGAAGAAAAGAAAAAATATGGATAAACAACAAACGTTGTTTGTACTAGCGCTGGCTTACCTGCTGCTTGTTGTGAGAACAAATAATAAGCTATGTATGTACGGTGTGTTCTTATCTTGTCCTACGTACATATGTATGGGGGTTTCCATACGAAGATTCATTTATGTGGACTAAGAAAGAAAGACGTTCTTTGGTGATAGCCGGTGAAATTGGCATATAGTATGTATTGGCGCACCATTGGTAACTAACGTACGATCGTAATTAGAGAATTACAAATGGTTCGGCTTCACTTAGCAATGTGTAAATGCATATTAAAAACCATCTTAACAATCATTCAGGGTAAAGAAAAAACAATCAAACATTACGCTATGCGTTAACGTAGTATATTCAAACTTCATCAGTTGTGAAACTCTAATACAACTACGGAATTTTTATGTGGATGAATTTAAGAATAAATTTTAGGCAAATTAGTAGAAACGTATTTGGCAATAGAAGTAGAGAAGTAGGCACTTATACCTTCTTGAATATGCCTTGAGAATACAAAGAAACTGGTAGAATGTTTGCCCTTTTGATGAAATCTCAATGAATCGTTTGGGTAAGTGGTACCTACTTCTGTTGAAAATAAAACCCTACCCTATGTACCCTATATGTTCACACTCACCGCCAATGACTGCTCCAGAGTAAATTTCTCTGCAATCAGTATATCCTTCTCTCTCGATAATCGATCTTTGGCCTGCCTTTCTTGCCTGGCTGTGTCCTGTTGATAAAAGCCAAACATTTGTTTGAATAACAGAAGTCACAAAAAATATGACAATTCCATACCTGCAGGGCTTGACATTCGGAATCAAATTTTCGTTGCTTCTTTTCCAATAGGTTGTTACGGGCGTTTTGTTCCTCCAACAACATGCGCAAATCATTCATCTCATTTGTCATTTTCTGGGCTTTGCGCTTCCATTGGCCAACCACCTGACGCTGTTCTTCAACCTCTTCATAGGCATCGTTGAGCTGAAAAAAAGAATACAAAGAAATTGAAGTTCTGTTTCGATGCCACGTTACAACTTCCAGCGATTATACCTTCTTCTCAAGCTGTTTCTTGAAGCCTATCAACTGTTCCAAGTCATGTTCGTGTTGGGTTTGCAGGCGACGTTTGGTAAATTCCAATTCTTTTGCTACCCGCTCGTATTTGAGTTTGTAGACCCCGCCCGCGGACCCGTTCTCGTCGTTGTCGATGTCTTCCTCTTCGGAGATGCCATTGAGGTCGGATTTAGCACAGATTAACTCCATTTCCAACTTCTCAGTAGTCTCTTGCAGTTTCTTGACCTTGTTTTCCTTTTCGGATAACTCCTTTTCCAGGCGCAAGCGTTCGGCGGTCTCACCTTCCAGACGTTCCGTTGCCATATTGGCCGTTGATCGCTCCTCTGCCAAATCCACTGCCATCTCGGATAACTGCAAAAGAGAGACCAAAAGGCAAAAGTGTTCATTTAGTTTTGCTAACAATAACTGACAATGGACACGGGTACAGGTGAAATGGCCAACACAAAAATAACACAATCAAAGGAAACTCATCCACCCGACTTCTTAGACGCCCCCTATGATTCATTGAAAAGTATTTCAGTGTTTGGCCTTATTTTGCTGTTCGTTCCGAAAACGAAAACACTATAAATAAATCTTCCATAAAGAATTTATAGCCACAACGACAACAATAAAACAACAAATATTCAATGTCAAAAACATATTCGGAACGAACACAGAACTCAGAACAGGCCTTCACATCTACGAATGTGTGTTTATGGCTACGTGTAATGTGTGCGTGTGTAGTGCGAACAGATGTACACTTGGAAGCGGGCACACATATTTTGGATGCTACAAAAGGAACCTCCTTAAGGAACTACAACAAAGCAAAGCTGGTCTAGGGAAGCAGCAACCATACCTTGTCCGTTTCGTTATCACTTTCCTCCTTTATGGTACGATTATCATCATCGTCGTCGACGTCGTCGTTCTCGGAGATCTCTCGGGCCATGGAGTTAGATCTGGAACTCGATATCCTGGGCATTGCTTTCGTCATTTGGAAAGCCTTTGTTAGGATGTTTTGCGATGACTTGGTGCGTCCCACTGAGGGACAGCGTTCCATGCTGTTCCGTTCTCTTTGCCTCTCAATGAGATTGATTGTGTCGTATGTGTCGTCGTAGAGGGAGTTGGTTGGTGTGGCACGACTACTGGTACTGGTGGCACGACTGCGCCTTCCATAGGCAACCCACTCCTCTTGCACGTGATCGGTTCGCTTGAGGAAGTTTTGGATCTTTTCACTCAGCACTGCTGAGGCTGTGCGCGGTTCCTCGAACGATGGTGAGGGCCGCAGCGACTGGCGCACAGGTTGTTTGTGGCAGCCGAGTACAAACGAAAGATTGCCATCGAACACCACTGGCGATTGTTCCAAATGTCTCATTTCATAGGCATCCAATGGATCTCCAGCAACATAGGTTTGCGGGAAAATGCGACGTGGAGGAGTCTGCAGACGTGACATTGAGCTACGCGATGCAACACTGGAGCATACCGAAGACGCTCTCGACGAAGAGCTGCGAATCGACAGCGATGGACTCGGCGAACGTGTCACCAATCTCAGGCGTTCCGCGGAGCTCCTCAAGTTGTTAACACCGTTGATTAAACTTCCATTCCGCTGAGTCGGATCTAATTTGGGAAGAGGAACCGTTAATTTCACTTCCAAAGGTTGTGCAGCGGCCGTTGAGGCGTCACCATTGATGACACCGCCAACAGGCTGTGCTTCATTGTCACTCATCTGCCTACATGATTTTGTAGCGCTCTTTAGCAGACCGTCATCCGAGTCGTAGTTGGCGGAACGTGAAAATGCTGACGGTCCATCCGCGCCGTTTGTTAATTTCAAGGCGGGGCTTTTCTCGCGCTGCTTCGGCAGGAGCCTAATTTGCTTGCGCAATCGGCTGGGATCCTGCGGTGGCTTGGGAGGACGAGGATGGGGTGATGGAGGCGGAGACATAACACAAGAGGAGGCATTGGTGTTAACAGAGGACAAAGAGGAATTGCTGGCATTGTGACACAAAGGAGTAGAAGAAGGATGTGGGGAGCTCAGTAGATCGCTTGGATTGCCCATTTGCGGAGGACTTTTGTTGAATGTAGGCCCCCCTGAATTTGTTTCCTTTTCGACAGGGGCCGGTGTCGATTGTCGGGATCTTGAGCCGCTGCGCAACGCTGAGTAGACTCTTTCTAAAAATTTTGAATTTTCTGTTGGTTGTTGTGGTGGTGCATTGTTGTGTGTGACGTTGCTGGTGGTTGTGTGATGTGGGTTGGATGGTGCAGTCGTTCTATCTACAGTTTCCGAAACATGATTGTGTGGTGGGTGTGAATGTGTCGAGGTAGTGTCGGGAAAAGTTGCTGGCGACATTTTCTTGTTTTCAGAGCCACTTGGTTCCTCTGGCACCACCACCTCATTGTGTAGTGGCGACATAGGGACTTCTTTCCGATTTCTACCCAATCCAATTAGTGTACCTAAGACCAATTTATTAGCAGAATTGTGGGCCAAAAGTTAGTGTTGGTTAAATTCGTTTTGGGTGTTAGTTTTCAATTTCGTGTAATTTTCAATTTCGTAATTTCGTAGGGACTGTAAAAATATTTGGGAACAAATGGCTTCATCAAATTTCGCGATGACAAAGCAGAGGCGATTCCATTTTTAAATTGCTCGACATTTTATCTTTTTATTTGTTTTTTTTCTATCCAATTCTCGTTTATGCTTTTCAGTTCGTTTGTTCTACACGTAACGCATTCTAATGATCATTCGAATGGGATCGCATCGATTTTCTGCTAAGCTATCTTTTTTTTATTCGGTGAAATTTCTCACTTCTTCCCCGTTCGCTCTGCTCACTCTCTTAGACCATCACTTGGTTTTTCACAGACTTTTCACTTGGTCCCACTTGTTGCGAATGTGTTTTCTGCACTCACGGCGGCACTTAGAGGTTTTTCTTCCTCTACTGCTCGACAATGACTGATCGTGGCGATTTTCATTCTGTTGTGAAAAATTCATACCAGCGTCTAAATTCAGCAGACTTCGGAGAGAGATCATATGAGCTAGCACCAGTTGTGCGTAGATTTTTCTTCGGTCGATGTGAGGTGGATGCTGACGCTAGAGAATCTTCTGTTCTCGCTATTTGTTTTCTTAGCTACGCGCCACTTGGCCAGCGAAAAGAGTTACGCGGTCGGTGAGTGACATTTGGCATATTGCTGATGAAGTGTAACCAACCACCCACCCGACAGCAGGCAAATCTCCATGGAATTGAAACGTTTGCAATAAGATGAAAACAATCTTTTTATTGGTGGTTTTACATCACGTCGGACATTTGGGTACCACCTTTTGTGCCGAGTTAGCTGGGAAGGACTCGGTGTGATGTTACATTTGTTGGCAACAATATCTTGCTGATGTGCCCATTACCAAATAAAAGTAGAGACCAAATTGCACACAATCTCTAGCGCTCTCTTATCCATAGATTAAGATATTTAATCGCAACAGTTTCATTTCACGGCATTGCACTGGGATCTGTGTGCAGTATTTGGGAATAATGTCCATTCATGGAAATCATTGCCTTCGCATTTGTCGGAGTCAACCGTCAATAGCAATGGTGATGGTGATGATAATGATTGTGGTTTGCATGTGCGAGATTTTCGCACTGTCAGAAGCTGAACAACCAGCCAACAGACACGATAGTTCTATTTTTATCCAAATACAGAATATATTAATTTTCCGTTAACGTTTGCTTCTTTTTGCGTTCCTTGGCCAGGGCAATCATTGGGCCAAAAAATATTGACATAGTAAATAAATACATTCGACAAGTACACAGAGAATACAGTGGTGAGCAAAACAATAATAATAATGTACCCTCCCTTTTGTATGTATAACACTTTGTTCTCCTGGTTACAAATGTTATGTGTCAAATGCATAAAACAAATAGGTGTATAATCAATATCATATCGGCCCCAATGGACGAATGGACAAAACAAAATTCACGCAATTTCCCAGGACTCTACGAAAATTCTTTTTTAATCATTGTCTAAGATGTCCATCAAACCACGCTGCACACACTTATCCTTGACCTGCAGAAATACAATTTTGCAATACAATAAGCGTGCCAACAATAGCGGGCCGACACGACACTTTATTTCTTATAAATATTATTGCAAAATAAATGAGCAGAAATATGCATTTGCAAATGTTTTTATTCGTCTGCTCTGCCCCTCGCCTTCAGCCTGGCCAGAAGATCAGAATATCATTTCGAACCACACATCATCACGCACAGTGCTCCTATAGAGATGCCTACAGTGGTTCCGAGCAAAAGTCATACACCCAAAGAAACTCATTTGATTAAGTCTTATTCAGAGGCATAATCAAATTAGACAAACCATTAAAATAGTCAGCCCCATCTGGAATATTCGCGACGGGTTCTATTCCCACGGAACACACCTGTCTCGAAAGAAATTGTCTTTATTCGTAAAACCGAAATGTCAAGTTTTACTCATTTCATTGAAATTGTGACAGTATCTAAAACTGGGCTAGACAGAGAAATTTAAAATTATTTTTTTTGTGATTGTTTTGGTTACGAAAAAAATATTGCAAGTGTTTCTTTGCCTCTCTATACACAGTGAGAAATATTTTGTTAGTTTTATTTATTTATTTATTTTTTTTTTTTGATTTTCATATTTGTATTCATAACCACTTAAATTTTTGCTCGTAGAAATGTGTATTTTGATAAAAAAAAATTGCGGTTATATCTGCACCATTAAAAAAACAATAAATTAACACGAATGTAATGTTTTTTTAAAAGATATATTAAATTATAGAAGCTAAATATATTGATAAGTGGCGCGCCAAAAATTATTTTTACAGATATGTGTAAAACAAAAGGATATGTAGAACCTTTCTCATTTATTATCGAAATGAAACTGAAAATATTTTTTGTGTGAGCAAATCAATCAAGTCCATCTCTGTCACACATTTTTCTGAAATGAAAAATAGATGTTCAAAAGTGCTGAAGTGTGTATTCGATATATCCGATGATAAATCTCTCTAAATTAGGAAGTTATATTTATGTACTCCAATATTTCTAACGGTGTATTAATTCCTCATCCACTGCTCGGATAAAACTAAATATTCTACCAAAACCATTGACAGAACATTCAACAACAGATTTTTTTTCAATTGCGTTGGTGAACACACAGTTATCACATTGGATCCTCTTTGCATAGCTCTGATCAAAATGCACAGAAGGTCTACATAACAATTTTTTAGGAGGTGGAAATAGATAAAAAATATCAATTTGAGACAGAAACCTTTATATGGGAGCTATACCAAATAATGGACCAAATACCAAAATAAGGAGAAAACATAATGTCGGGGCTAAAGCAAATATTACGGACATACAAGTATTATTTGTGAGTTGAAATTAAGCCTAATGCGAACCTGAAATGCCAAATTTCAAATAATTCAATTCGAATTAACTTTGAACCTGAAATGCCAAATTTCAAATTATTCAATTCGAATTAACTTTTGAAAACTTAAAAAAAAACGTAAAAAAGTTAGGTTCGGACGAAACGAATTTCTCATACTCCCTACCATACGGTGAAGAAAATCTTTATAAATAATTGTGTGGCGATTAAATATTCGAATGGGCCGCATTTTATACTGCAAATACCACTGTTATCGGTTTTAGAATGTAGTTAAAGTCTTCAAAATACCATAAGTTGTTCAGTACCGCTATATGGGTGCCTTACCAAAACGTGAACCTACAAATACCAACCAGTGGTGGCGACTCAATTCCAATATGAATATTTAGTAGGTTCACCTGTAGCAAATAACGTTCATATTTATTTCGTATTAAGACTTTAGAGGGTTTTAAATTTGAAGTCGATCGGAACTAACCTATATCTACACAAAAACAAGGATATATCTCAATCGGTTTCCACTACAGAGATAAATTTATGTTGTATGCGACCTCTCGAACCTCTCGGGCAAAATTCTCATCAAATATGTATAGGAGATACGTTTAAATTTCAATAATAAACAAACGATCTGTGCAAACTTTTTTTTATTTATTTCGTATTAAGACTTTAGAGCATTTTAAATTTGAAGTCGATCGGAAGTAACCTATATCTACAAAAAAACAAGGCTATATCTCAATCGGTTTCCACTACAGAAATAAATTTAATGTGTATGCGACCTCTCGAACCTCTCGGGCAAAATTCTCATCAAATATGTATAGGAGATACGTTTAAATGTCAATAATAAACAAACGATCTGTGCAAACTTTCATCAAAATTGAACAATAAATGCTTAAAAACTACATGGACAGAATGTGATTCTATGAAGGTCACAAAGCCATAATATCTTGTACCACAGTGTGGTGACGGGTATAAAATTAATACCATATTTAAAAAGCAAATTTTAAAAATCTTCATTAGAAAATGATCAAAATCTTGATTTCAACAGACATACAGACTGGAGAGATATATACATACACTACGGGGAAGGTTCAGTTATATGGGTGTTCTAACTTAACGTGTACCAAGTAATACAAAGTTTACAGCTGTCGATAAATAATGTGAAGCTGTCCGACTTAGAATTCTCTGGTGGTCAAGAACATATACTTTATGCAATCTCCGACAAACATGAAATCGCGGTCACAAATTCAATATATCTCCATATTATTATGGTAGAGATGATTAAAAATATAATGATTTCAAAATATGTGAATGTAGGGATGTTGGTACGTCTGGGGAGCAAAATAAGAGTTCGGAAATAGGCTCTTAAATATTGTATTGTGTTGACTATACAATCATTAACGTCTTCCGAAATAAAAGACTGTAAATTATGCAATGTTAAATATATAATTTTCTCACTTGGTCGCGTCACAGTTCCCGTCTTCGTTTCCTAAATAGTTCCCAGATCTAATTCAAATAAAGAACATTTGTTTATAAAACCAAAGAATACCTTTTTCGACTTTAGCATTTAAAATTTAATTAATTTCAATATTGTTTGTTGATTGTTTTCCCATTTCGGTCCATAGAATGTACTAACAACAGCATATTTTTATACCCTACACCACAAGGTGGTCAGGGTATTATGTCTTTGTGCATTTGTTTGTAACAGGCAAAAGGAAAGGAGATAGACCCATAGTTCTTTTTGATGATCTGCATAGAATCACATTCTGAGTCGATTTATGCATGTGCGTCCGTCCGTTCGTCTGTCCATTTATTTTGTAAACAAAGTACAGGTCGCATTTATTGCCCGATCCAGATGAAAATTTGCACAGATCATTTGCTTGGTCCAAGGACGAACCCTATTGAAATTGGAGATAATCGGTCAAAATTTAGATATAGCTCCCATATATATCTTCGTCCGATTTGCTGTTTATTGTGCACCAAACCTGTAATATCAGTCCGAATAGTATGGAATTTTGTACGTACGATCAGATTGGACCTGAAAATAAGTATGCCAAATTTGATCGAAATCGGTTCAGATATAGCTATAGCTCCCATATATATTGTTTATCCGATTTGTTACTTTTGTCCTCCGAAGCCGTAATATGCACTCTGTAACAACAATATTTGGGGAAATATATCAAATACAGCTCATAAATATCTTTGTCAAATTTTATCGAGATCGGTTCAGATTTGGATATAGCTCCCATATATAACTTCGTCCGATTTACCTATTATTGTCCACCAAACGTCTAATATTTGTCTAAATGGGACGGAATTTGGCACTTACGACCGAATTGAGTTTAGAAGCTAGTGTGTCAAATTTGGTAAAGTTAAGATATAGCTATAGCTTCCATATATATTGTTCATCCGATTTGTTATATTAGTTACTCACAACCGTAATATGCACTCCGTAACAACGATATTCAAGGAAATATATCAAATACAGCTCAGAAATATGTTGCCAAATTATATCGAGATCGGTTCAGATTTGGATATAGCTCCCATATATATTTTTATCCGATTTTAAATCATATACAAATGCTTCGGCATATTTAGTCCTTTGATCTTTAAATTATAATTATAATCATAGCTTGTATGATTGAATTCTTCCATAAAAACTTTTAATTGTTATGTGAAGGTCTACTAAACTAGCAAAGTGGTGTAGGGTATCATAAAGTCGGCCCCGCCCGACTTTAAGACTTTCTTTACTAGTTTTTCCATATTCCTGTGTCGCTGCGTTACCTCAATTAAATAAATTTCGTTAGGTGCACGACTTTTGACTTTCGCTTGGATCCACTGTATTTACACGAAGCAATATTGCATATTAGAATGTCTCGAAAAATACATTCCTTTGATGAGAGAATTTGTATATAAATATATCTCCATTGTTGATTACTGCAAATGTTTTTTTTTTTTTTTGCATGTAATATCATAAATTGGCCTAATTTGTTGGTAAGTTTTGACCAAATGCAAGTGGCCGCTAAGTTTTGCTGAACTTTAATTTAAAAATTTCCCTAGTTTTGACATTAACTTCCGAAATCTCTAACATTTGTTGATGTTACCGACAAAAAATCGGTAGGTCCTAGCGACGAGTTTATTTTGGTCGCTAATGTATCGTAAATGTTCGTGAGACAAAGCGATCCATCCACTTGAAAAGCCTTTGTTTAAAATCTACTGAATTCAACTACTGTATCACCCTATTATTGATCAACGTTTCTGCTAAATATGCATTTCAAAGCATCGTGTCAGGCATTCTCTTCATTAAATTAGAATACTTTGAAGCCAGATATCTTTATTTAATGTCAATGTCAGTCAAATATTCGAAAAAAAAAATAATTTTATGCCATTCATATATATATGCATTTGTACAAATCATTAAACACATTTTTCTTATATAAAATGATACACATAGAATTATCCCAGTTCTAAGAAGAAAAAATGATTTTAAGAAGTTATTTAAAAAGGTTTCCTACAATATACGATATTCGAGGGTGCAGCTCAATGAAATTTGGAGTTATATCAAACATTTAAAAAAAAAAATCTAATTTGTGGACTTCCGTCTGGGCGTTTGTCACAATATTTATGTAACACTTTTAAGCCGGGCCAAAAAATGGTATTGTGTCTAGGATAATTAAAACTAAAAATGGGTTCGATCAGTCCGGGTTTAGGTATTGCCTCCATATAATGGCGCATTCTAATTTTCGGTATTTTGTAGATAGCAAATATTAAATAAAAATACCTTCCAATGTAAAGAATTTTGAATACGTTAAAAGCCCCTCAATAAAACCGGCTGCTTAGACCGGCCACATAACATGTTGAAGCAAAGGATTTTCGACAAAGGTTTTGCTTTGATGTGTTGTTTTGTCACGTGATGTTTTCCTATGTTCAACCAACTACTTCTTAAACATTTCTAATTAGTTTTATTTCGTATTAAAAAAGATAAAAAAGCGTTTTGAAAATATAATGCAAAAAAATCTCTACTGACCTTGGCTTCGAGTTTTTGATTCTCAGTCTTTAGTTCGCTTCGATCACTTTCAATTCTTTCCAGTTTCGACCTCAGGACCACCAACTCTTCATTGGCAGACTTTAATTGTTCTTCGGTGCGATGCACATTCAATAAAGGTGTGACACGTACCAACAGTCGCCACCATGGCCAATCTCGGACAGCTAAGAAAGCTTTCACGTTCCGTTGTATGCAACGGACCGCCAATTCCTGCAAGAATATAATGTGAATATTAGTGGAGTTAAGAAATTCTAATATATAATGCAATAATCGGAATAATTAGATCCTCAAAGCAATTACAATAATTATCGGACAATGACGAGAAAATCATTCCGAATGTTTCATTATTTTTAAATCAGATTTTATACCATGAATGGAAATTGCCTAACATTCTGGTTTATTTGTTATTTTGAGAAAGAAGGCAAAAATTCTCTCTCTCTCTATGTATTGTCTTGATTATTCTAACGCTGATAGTAATCAAAAACAACAACAAATTGAGAAACATTACATATCGATTATAACATCGAATTTCTAAAATCGATTTTTGACAAGACTCACCTGAACTCTCCGTTGTGCCATTGCTCTGCGCGCTAGATAGCCACGGCAATAGGCCTGCAGCTGTATGATGCGATCTGATAGTAATTCGTCACGTTTAGCTTCGAGTTCACTTAAAACGCCGGAACGGAAAAGAATCTGTAAATAAAGGAAAATTGGTGATTTGCGTTTTAGCTCAATATCGCCAAATTTATTGCAATTGCACTGTTAGTCACAGCCAGTGTGACTGTTTAAGGACAACAAGGGCATCCCTGGGATCACATTGATCAACCTTAATTTCGATGAGGAAAATTAGTCGAGTAGGTCCCATTAGAATAAAAAAGAAACAGCTCTCATTCTGGTAGTTTAAGAAAGAGGATCGCCGGATAATTTTGTGTGACTTTTGAATTGGATAAAACTTGACCGACAGACAGACACAAAAAGTAAGTATCGTCAAGGACATGTGTTGTGTTTGTTGGAGTTTGCAAAATACTATGGTTGATCGCCTTTGTGAAACAATAAATTTTGGCTCAAAATATACTCAGTAGAATTTGAAAAACCACAAGTCCATAGAATGGTATTGGAATTTGTACACTTTTTCTGCGAAGAAAAAATTATGATTCACCTTATATGGGGCTACAGCAAACATTGGACCCACATAGACAATTTTTTGTGAGGATAAACTGTACCCTAATGTCAAACTAAATCTAAAAAAAAAAGCTGGAAACTATTGCCGACGGATATTTAAAAGTGTTGTAAACTGAAAGACAAATTCATATGGTGGAAGGTAACCACGAAGATGAAGAAAATTCGATTTCTTCATTGATTACCCACCAATATATCGAATTCCCTTTAGTTTCCATTTTCCTCTAGGTACGTTGTTTTTTCATTAAATGAAAATCGTCCTTAGACTGAAGCTTTTTCATATCAAGTTGTTAAATAATACATCAGTTCTATGTTGATAGCCAATTAAAGTGCGTAAATATAATAGAGATGTAATCTGAATGTGGTTTAATTTTTTAATTCAATTTGACACGACTGCAGGTGCCACTTAATGCCAAGCACTCCTCCAAAACATATCACAAATCATGGAGACTATTTTTACAAGCGGACACTCTATTTGCTTGTTGCTTGCTAACGAGAATATAAAGATGCAAAATAAGCACACGAGACTTATCTTCCTGGTACTATTCACATCACATGAATTAAAAAGGTTATTATTATTGAATACAAAACATTTTTAATTGTCCACACAAAGCATGCTTCTCTTTCAAAGCTCATATCTCAATCAGCGTTGATGGTGTGGAGTTGAAGGAATTGTCAATGGTACTTTGTTTCCATTTTAATCGACTGATAAAGCTAATGGACTGTGTCTAAAATGTTATGCCAAAAATATCGATCCACATGACTAACATTCAATGCCAAAGATCCTCGCACTCCAGACCCTTTCAGGCAGTTTATTCGAGAAATAAATCACAATTTTTTCATTTCATGTCCAAGATTTGGCATTAACATTGAATATTAGACACGATTACAGATGTTGGTAGCTATTCGAAAGTCGATTCTTTTGTTATTTAAGTTGAACCTTTTTTTGGAAATGTTAAACTCCCATGTACTTTGTCATACTTGTGTAATGCTAATAATTTGGAGCTTTATTATCTAATACAAATAATTTGACTAATATAATTTTTGTACATGTTGATATGTTTGAAAATGTAATAAACTGAAATTTCCTTCGCTTTAGGGAGGGGGACCATGCATTACGAAATGTTGGCACATTTTTGGTGGCACCAAAATTCGCTCCGTTTCTCATTTCCATTTTCGCTTTACTTTCATTTATTCGACATTTATTATAACAAATAAACACTTTCCATACTTTTATGAAGACGTGCGTGGCATAATTATTGTCGCCGGAGTGAGGAGTGATCGTTCAAATGCTTGCCATGAAATGGATCGTCATTCCCAAATACCTTTGCTTGCAAGCAGCAGCAATAATATGACAGTCGAATGGCAATGTGGCGGATGGTTGGTCGATCGGTCGTTGGGGTTTTGTTGAATTGGCATGAGTCCATGCCACCACACCTAGAAAGATGGCACAATGCACGGCGGCGAATATTCAATTCACTCCTGGGGTCATCACGTACACCACAGCCGACTATCGGACGGCAATACTGCAACAACACCAGATTGCTACTGTCAATCACCACTCGTGGAATAGGTAAAGCGTCACATTGCCAGTCAGTGGTGACTTGCAGGTGTGCTCAGCAGCTGCTTTTTTTGTATTTGTGAAATTAGAGTGCGTGATTTGTGTTGAAATTCATTTCAATTCGCACCATCACGGACGGTAATTTTCGCCAAGACAAAAGACCCCCTTCCCCCCCTTCCTGTATCAAATAATTTCAATTACAATGTAATTTCCTTACGATAATTCCTTTCGATTTATAATTGAATTGCTAATGGGTTTGACAATGGGTACATATAAGTATAACAAAAAAAGGGGGCTCCTCAACGAAACTTAAGAAGAAATTCACGACGATAATATTCTGCAGAATTTCACCCGAATGAATGAAATCAATACGATACGATGCATTTGGGTTGGTTTTCACTTTTGTAACAACAAGAAATATAATCGACAAAAACTGAGGGGGCATTGTAACATTTTATAGTCTTCTTGACGTTTATGAGTATCGAGAAGAACATCCAGGATGACGGATTGCCCGAAAGTTTGAAATAACCGTAGGTAAAAATAGAAACAACAACTGAAATTGAAAATAAGATTATTTTTCCCATTCTTCAGACGAGAACGGTAAAGGAGATTTGTAGGCAATTTGGAGACCAAAACAAAGAAATCACAAAGAATTGACGATGGAGTAAAAATATACCTCTTTCTATGTTAGATCCACTTTTATGGCCTGAGAGCCTGTCAGATTCTTAATTTATTTGAATAAGCGGTTAACGTTACCAATACATCTCTGCTTCGATTGAAGTCTTCCATCGCGGTATTCACGATGCACATTTTCATATGTTTTTCGTGAAATAAGTAATGTAATAATAGTCAGTGTTTTGACTGCTGCCAAATTTTAAATATTCAAAATCTGTCTTGACCACAACTCGGATTACCAATTGTAATAAACTCCTGATCGTAGTTATTTGCCTGGTGTCATGTTTTTTTTTTTTTTTTTTTTGGATTTCCACAGAATGTTTTCCTTTTGATGACGAAGGCATGCCTGTTTTTTGGGAAGGCTGTATTCAAACAGGAGAAAAATCATAATTTTGATCCGATTTTTATAGTCTCCATATACTGGAGAATTAAATAGTTTGGAACCGAAAGTTTTGGCATTTCAATGAACTTTAAGTACGCTTAACGTTATTTGCAGCTTTACACAGTGCTCCCACAAAAATTGCATGGAAAACTGCCTAGGAAAGAGAAATAGTCGGGCGGACCCGACTGTAAAACAAATTTAGTTTGTTTTATCGCTCCGATTGGATGTGGTTCATTGGAACTTTCTCTTTCATTGTTCTGTTGCCTTGTGTTGGTATATGTACACAACGTATGAATCGTTCACTGGTGGATGAAAAAAGGAACTAGATGAACTAAAGATCTGTATATTCCTATCGTTCTTTCCGTTATTTCATGTTTGTTAAAAATTAAAAAAATATACAAATACTTATTTAAAAAATGTTCCTCCTAACACCACAATAGCCACAAGAGTGTATATCGGGAATTATATCCTAGAATCGGAGGGGATGGAAAAAGCCAAAACCAAACCAAAGCAATGATAAAAAGGAAAGCAATATAGGACATAAGGAACTCATATAAGTTTGAGAATGGATGGGTGATATAAAGTTGGACGATAGGGACATATAATTTAAGCGGAAACTGTAAGTAAGCCACCAAAAAAGAATCACATACAATTTTCATTTTTTTTTTTTTTCATTTTTTTTAATTTTTTGTATAACAAATAAATACATATATTAAAGTAAAAAAAATATTTATATGTACACAAATGTGCGATAAAATATACAAATTATAAACAAACAAATATGAAATACTGAACGAAATACATACATACATACTTAGTTTTTTAAGGTGCATATATACGAGCGTTTGTGTAATACATTCTATAACAATACGACCAATTGAAGACAACAACAATAAATTACATTAAAAATAAAAAATAAATAAAAACCAAAATATTGCATGTCCAAATTGAAACTAACAAACTACCACTCCACTCCATTCCATTCCTTGCCACCCACAGACGACTATTGTAGCCGGATAGTTACCTCTTTGGTGAAGTTAGGAAATATTTCAACATGTGTCCGAATGACTTGAACCGATTCGACTTGGGCAATGCGGCAAGTGGTGCACACACGCTGATTCGTTGTAATTAGCAACTGCCGTGGCGAGTCTCCGCCAACCGTGTAGTCGCCATCGCCATCGTCCTTGCCCACTACAGCTGAATCGTCGTTAAGACTTGTAATGGAGGAAGCATTCGATGGCTGATGATTATTGGTAACTTCCATATTCTCGTTTGAAATATGGCCAGAATCATCAGAATCGGAACAGGACGATTCAATTTCCTTGGTCTTCAGTGACAGTGGGGACGGCACAGAATCCAAATAATTTATGGCGCTCACGGTGGCAATGCCACTGTCGGTGGATACCTGGCGCTGAGGCAACGGACGTAGGGCGCTGCTGACTTGGACGACATTCACCAGAAGTTCGGCATGCTTGTTGGCGTTGGCCGTAAAATCGGGCGGTATTATTTTGCAGGATTCCAATGAGGGTGGCGAAATCTTATCTTCGTTGGCATAGTTAAGCTTGGGCTGGAACCTTTTACGCCTCAACGTAGAGTTTTTACCGCCACCGGACGACTTAATGCGCACCACAGATTTGTTGTTGCTGCTGACGGCCGAGCATTTGGGCCGTTGCTGGGTGTTCAGCGATTCTACTTTACGTAGTATCTGTTGACCCTTTTCCAAGCACTTATCCAAAAGCTCATCGCTTGTCCGGCTACGTCTGGGCGGAGTGATGGGTGCTGCTGATGACCCGGCCGATATATTTTTTCTCGTCGACAAACTTGAATTGGAGTTCGTTCTTTTGGGTACGGCAGAATTTTGTTCACCTGTACCTCTTTTTGCCTGTGTATCCTTCCCCACTCGAACAGCCGTGCCATTTAAGGAGGTATCACTGCTTCTGACTGAAGGCCTCACATTGACGTACTTGGCCGTTCGGTTCATACGTTTGGTTACTGCTGACGTTTTAAGACCACTATCTTCCTGTTCCGCCGTCGCCGCCTTGGCGGACTTTGCGGATCCAATTGCGCTGGTCTCCTCTCCGGAATGGAACGGCGAACTCGTATTTAAATAACTAAAACTTTTGCTTCTCTTCTGTAGCGGCAGTGTCTTGAGGATTGGAATCTTTGTCGAATTGGTCAATTCCCACACAGACGTTGACTTTCGTTTTTGCTGTTGAATGAAATTGTGTTGCATTTGTCGCAGACAAGGCGAATCGGGCGACTGATACAATTTGCGACGCGTTAGCGAGAGGCATGATGAAGATTTTTGTAGCTTCTGGGTGTCGGTGTGATGGCGACAATCTGTCTGTTTCGGATTCGGATTCGGCGGCTGCGGTCCGGGTAATTCCTCATTTGTGGATGTCTTATCGCTACTCGCTTTGTCAGGGGTGGGGTTGGTCAGTGTTTGCATAGGTTCTTCCGCAGTCGTTAAGCCAATATTTAATGTGTCTTCCAGCGGTTTTTTTTCATCTAGAACCTTATCGCTCGACGTGGCTTGCAGAAGGGGGTCGTTGTAATCGAACACAATTTTATCAAAGGTCTTTAGAACTGCATTCAATTTGCTTTCATCGTGGGCCACCTTCTCCAGCTCCTCAAATATTTCGTCTTCCAACGAAGTTTTGACCAAATTCAAGCTTAACTGTGTTTCGTCCTCATCGCTCTCTACATAGGAGGAGGGTCTCTGGGCAAAATAACTGGAAATGCTGGGTGTGTTATCGCTGGGTGATGTCGTCGACAATGACACCGTTTTGGCAGCTTTAGCACGGAACTCCTTTGCTTCCGCCTTCGTTTCCAATGGCTGCGAATTTTTATTCGTCAATGTGTATTTGCCCATCGATGAGTCCAAAGAACTCAAAGCGGTCATGGACTTGGAATGCTTTCCAGCCTTGTACAGTTTTCCGCTTATCTTTGGCGTTAAATTGTCCTCGATGGTGTGTCTGATTTTGGAATAAAACTTCCCAACACCAGTGGGTCTACTAGACACGGTGGCAGGATTTACGTCCGGCGATTTTCGTGATGTAGCCACCAAACTTCCGCCAGGGGTTTGGGCCGCCTTAAGCCCTCTTTTCGGTTTCACATAAAATTTATCCATTCTCTCTGGGCGGACAGTCAATTAAAACGAACTCGCATTCTTTTCACAATAAAATGTTCGGCCTACTTAAATAACGCTTCGCTTGAAATCACTCTTTATTTCCCTCACTATGTTTTTAATCGTTTTATTTCAACACGCTCAGGCCTCCAATCCGAGAAGCACACTTTCCATTTCAAGCTAAACAATATTTTATTTTGCCTGTTTTCCGTTTGTTAAACTCGCGTAAATATTTTTTAATCAATGTTCGGCAATCGCGTCTTTTGTCAGACTGATTGGAAGCTTCAATGGGTTGCAGTGCGCATGCGCACAACTGTTGCCGATACACGGAATTATTCCTCAATTCCACAGTGGCGGTTCGAAGCATGGGGCGAGCAAAATGTTAAGCAACGCAGTGTTTTGTTGTTTTCGCTGTCGGTATGACATCGAACATGTTGCTTGCTGGCCACCAACCAGCACATGCGAATGAGAATGCAGCGAAAGTTTTGCCGTTGTTGTTGCCCTCACCGCAAACATCGCTACCGCCACTACAACAACAACCATTACTACCATTGTCGTCGGTTGATGTAAACACGTACAACACTTGCTGCATACAAATGCCCGGCTAAGGTAACCCAGCTACGCGATGGTGGTATCGACTGAATGTTATGCGGCTAATTGTAATTTACGCTAGAAGTGCGCGGGTTCAAAGCGCCAACACCTTTATCAAAACAAGCCGTTTTAAATGCCTACTACGAGTATCGAAAAACGGTACACACAATTTAGTTTTGTAAACAAATTATCCGCCTTGAACTCCAATTGACATTAGTTGAAATAGGTTCAGATTTGGATGTAGCTCCCAAATATATCTCCGGCCGATTTGGGATTCATTTGGACATCCGTCCTAGAAGCTAGATTTAGATATACCTCCCATATCATTTCATTTTCTTCGAATTCGATGCACTCCACTACATTTTGGGGAGATCTATTCGGATAAAGACATAACGCCCATATGTTAGTTCCATCCGATCTCAAAAGTAAACTGTTCTTATGTCGGCACACGCATTCAATGGCCAATATGAATATATATATTTTTGTGACGGGCAGCGTGGCAATATATAAAATATGCCCTTTGTTGTAGGGTCTCATTATATGCGATGTAGGGTACTAAATGTACCCAAATGTGCTACAGAATCTATTTACATAAGACATTACTCTGGGGCAGGAACCGTGTTTAGTTACCTATTGTACACGAGTACAGCATAGAAATGACCACGATTAACACGTACTATTGCATTACTTTTTGGGAGCCAGACAGACAAACGATCACATTAATCGCCTTAGTTAAAAACGCCAAGTCACTGCCATAAATTGCCACACTAATGTCAAAAAAATTAAGTCCAAATAACCTTCTTTCGGTGTTGCAAGCACCAGCATGGAACGCAAGTCACCTGCTACCAGCAGAATGGGAAATTGAAAATTTCACCGCTTTAAAAGAGAATTAGTGATAATAAATCATATGTACGAACGCCGGCCTTCTATGGCATGGGTCAGTGGCTAGCCGAGCCAACTACTTGGCCCACAAATAGTGTCGGAATTTATATGGTCGCCATACATGTAATTGATTGTTTTTATTGTATTTGGTGTTGTTGTTTAGATAAAGCAACGAAGGAACGTCCTTTTTAGGCTTTTAGTTAAAAGCCAAAGGACAGTTCTTTAGTAAGCTATTTTCGCATTGCAAGACTTGGGCAATATTCAAACCAGTTCCGATTGAAAATGAAAGTGAACCTTTGCAGCTTCGTAAGATCTGTCGTCTGAATGTCTGTCGGTGCTTAACTGGACACAGACAACATCACATTACAAATTGGCAGACAGTGTAATTGCCAGTGATCATCGCTAAATGGCCATGTCTCTTGAACTTTTATTTTCATTCATTCATTCGCGATCGAATTGGAGTTAGTCTGATGGCGCAGCCTAGCTATGCGTCCCATACCGAGGAATGGAACGGCACTAACAATGTGCATTTAATTGTCGATCAGCGGCATTCAATCGGCCTCACATTACAAAGCAAAGGCCAAGAGGTGGTCAAAGCGGTTGGATTGGATGGTGCGGCTATTATCACTCAATTGAGATTGGGTGGCACAGGAATGCTTTTAACTCGTATTGAAGCCCACTGAAGACCATTGCTGCATATCTGTATGTTACAATTAGATAGTGGTTGGAGGGATGCATAATCTTCAGCGGTGTGTGGAATAAAATTGAATGATTAAGCGTATATCAAGAAGTACAGTTTTTCCCTGGACTCGTATACCAATTGAGACTAATTTGGTAGTACAAATGATATTTAATTACGTACTGTTTTTTTTTTTTCAAATTCTAATTTTTTTAGCCAAGAAAAATGCATGGCCAGATTTATTCAATTTTCAGATGTGAATTGTTTTCCAAATTATGTAGAATATTTTTGGTATAGAATGAGCAGTGCTAAATTTCTTTAAGTTCGTATGGAAAACTGCTTTTGGTGACTAAATTAATCACTAAAAGACGAAAAATTCATAGTAGATAGTTTCCGATAAATGCTTTATTAAATTATCTATTGAATGAGAAATATTTCCTTCAATGCATCCAAATGTTGTAAAAACTGTTGTTCAAAAGAATTTAAAATGATAAATCCGTTCGAGATTCCACTGAACTCAAAAATCTGCACATTATATGTTATGCTAAGAATACAATATATCGCAGCCAATATTGAGGAAAATTATGTTTTCATCGCAATGCAATTGGAAATTACGCAAGCATATTCTACACGATTCCACATTTTAGCTATGCACCTGGTATCGATATTTAGTATCTGACGCAACACATATTATATAGAATGAAATAATAAATGCAAGATTTTATTTAAAATCGATCCAGATTTGAATATGGATCCCATACATATTCAAAGTCCAATAACAATTTCCGGGTTTTAGTGTTTAATTGATTTTTAAACTTCTTTACGACAGGAAGTCTGTGTATAGTTAGATAAAACGCATATAAATACGAATAGTCGTTGATATTTTCAAAACTAAAATCTATTTGATAAATATTACAGCAATACATATTTTAAAACCACTGTACACAAACGTTTCAGATTGTGGATGTCGGCCCTTTAAAACAATTGTCTTTCTTTAATACAATCAGGGAGTGCGTGTGTATGCATATTTTGTGGGTGTACGTACGTACGTTTTTACCAAAGAAATAAACACTTGCCAAACCACAGAGCAGCAGCAACAAACGCCACATTTCCTGAGCAACATTTCGATGTGAACACACCTGCAACAGCAAATTGACATAGTCATACTGGCCATGCAACACACTCAGAGTCATATTCAAGTGCCGATCTTCCAAGGATGATGACAAACATGTTGCACCTTCAAACCCGATGATTTTATTTGATGCGATTATGTACATCGATTATAAACGCTTCAAACAAAGTATAAAAACCGGTCGATCCTGTCGCGCGCGGTTTATTGTTGTGTTTCGATATTTATTTCTCCACTTGAGGATGAAGTTGATAATCCATGTTCACGGCAAGACATTACAACACTGCACCAACAATATGACAGATCTGCGATGGTTGGCTGACTGACTAGCGACCAGTCGCTAGACTAGATTCTGGCCGGCAGTGGCAAAATAGTAATTCCATAGGGCAAACGTATTAAATTATCATTTGTACCACCGTTTTTTCCCTCCTCTGGCATGGACAACATTCCCCATCAGCCGAATAGTCATTGTTGTACGAACATGATGCACATGAACTTGACCATGAAAAAAGTGCAAAACTTCCACGCTGGTCTTTCGCACAGCAGCAGCATCATCTGCCTGGCTGTGACGTCAGTTAGCTATTGAGCGAACAGCAACAATAAGACCGCAAATGGAAGAGAGTATTACAATAACCACCTTTCACATACACGTATACATATGTAGGTGCATGCACATTGGGGCATGGTTCTTTGCCAACATCAAAAATATCACCGCTTAGCCTAGCGTTAAAGAAGTTTTCCCTACGGACGTATTATTGTTTTGCCATCCATTTGTTTAAAATATATAAGAATATTATCCCCATTATGAACATCTCTACATTTACAGTACCTTTTCAGTTATTGCAAAAATATATCACATAAATAAAATACTCCATGGTCTCTATTAATTAATTTTCAAATTAAATCACTTAAGTTTGTTCAATATGGGGTAGCTGTTCAAAGAATCGGAACATGTAGTTAGAAAATTCAGTTTACATAACGAATTTAATAATCATAGAAAAAATGTCAATGTTAACCAAGAGGTAAGGCAAGGAAGACCATGCTTTCGAAAAGGCCAATCCTCGTCAGTTGCCTTAGTATTTGTTAAACAATTTTATACCCAAAATTGTATTACTCTTTTATTTTATATCTCCTCCTGGGGAGATTATCCAAAAAAAAAAAAACAAGGGAACTTATGAAGTTTGGTGGCTCTTTCCGAAATCATGGTCTTCTCTGTCTTACTCCTTAATAAACATTGTCATATTACTCCACTAAAAAATAGAATGGCCTGCGTGTATACACCTAAGGGAAGTAAACGGCTTTAGTATTTAAATTTTAATAGTACAACGGGTATGTCGACACAAAATGTATCACCAAGGACCAATGTATGTATTTTGTATTGGGAGAAACCGTTCGAAGAAGTTAAACTGATGTGCAAACATAACTTAAGTTTATTCCGTATTACACTTCATTAGAGACGAAACCCCTACTACATCTAATTCAATTATATCTTGGGATGCGTACGCTCGTTTCCAGTTATAGAAGAAATCACTCATACACCAACAATGATCACCTATTTCCAAACTAAACAGAAAAAGAAATAAAAAAAAAAAACTTGAAAATAATCTGCCGCTCTTCACATGGCAATTTCATTGTCTGTGACACCGTAACCAGCCGCCGAAGCAAGGAACGACCCACAGTTCATGTGTGTTTATATACTTTTATTATGTTTTTGTAATAAAAATTCGATAGTGAAAGTGGTATTGCAACTAAGCCCCTGGTCAAGTTATTGTAATTGAAGATGTTCGTCATGAACGTTGCAGGAGATTCTTCACCGCATGTGTAATCGAAATAATAAAGGTGCTGTGTGTTGAGATTGACACTGGCAAATTGAACATATTCCAAAGTAAGGAGCGACAATAATTCAATTCAAGGCCCTTCAAGGTTACACATGCAATACGGCGTGGCAGGAATGTCTATAAAAAGGGAATTTTGTTCGTAACTTCCCAGACATGGATACAATCCCCATGAAGGTTGTTATTAGCACATTTGGTTGTAGCTACATTTGTCAGATATGGAAGGGCGTAAAATGTTAGCAGCGATGTTAACGTAGTACTTTTTATGTCCGCAATACTTAAAATGGGGTTCTTAAAGGTTGGGCACGATCAAAATTAAATCCATGAAGAAAGACACGTTTTTCATAGAAATGTAATTGAATTGTGAGCTGACCAGGAACGTACGCAGTGTGTCCTCCGAAATGGCTACTTTTCTGTCATTTTTGTATATATTATATGGAAAAGATAAATTTTTGCGATTTTTTTGGTACCACAGAATAGTTTCGAAATTAATTTGTGTATATGTCCCTGAAGACAATATACAACTTCTTTCTTGTCCAGTCAGCAGTTTTTAGACTATGAACGTATTTTCCCGTTTATTTGCATGACTTTTTACTATTCACATTTTTTCTGTTGAAAAGGGATTCTATGCTTAGAAAGGCATTTCGCTAATAACCAGAAACATTTCACCTGAATATTTTACCGGTAAATATTATTATAGCGAATGTTATGTTAATCAAAAAATATATATAAAATTGCTCAGATATGATTAAAAAGACGGAAAGTTGATGTAAAGGAGTATATTTTCTCAAGAAAATATTATTAACGTAATGAGTCATTTAATCAAGCAAGTTGCATTTACCCATTTAGCTTACTTACTTGATATCAAAACAACTGGTTACCGTTAATTCAGACAATTAACACTTGTGCCACCCACGCAGCTAGAGACGCTTTTCGAAATCTTTAAAAAACTATACTTGTCGGATATAAAGTTTTTATTTCACAAAAATGGATTTTCAACCGTATTTTATTACTTGGTTAATTTAAATGATATTTAGAGTTTTTATTCATAATATAGTATTATATCGTAGCTAGTATGAAAACTTCATTCCAAAGACTTAAATAAATAAGTTATTTTATATCACACACGATGACAGAATACAAAATGCCGCCTTAAATTAGATCTAAGAAAGCAATCGTTTTGGCTCATAAAAAGGAAGCAAATATAAACACAAATCTCTAAGCAATTGTCTATGAAAACACATACAAATATATTTTGTGTTAGGTTATATTATTAGGAAATATTTGAATCTTCGAGAACAATGGGACCATACAGCCAATCTTTTTTATAAATCATTCATATAGCACGGGCAATGTTCTATTTTTTCTGGTACTATTATTTTTGCCATAACTGTGTGTGTGTGTTCACGCAACACGTTTCCCAGCAATTATGTTTAGGATATACGTTTTGCTACAGTATGACTAAGATGCTCATTTTAATCAGGAATGCCCTTTTTCTGCTTGCCTCGTTTCTAGTTCTGTCCCGTTGTGAAATGTTAACAAATTATAAACAATGCTGTTGGCAACTGCGACCTGAAAAACCAGTAGCCGCCTGATTGTTTGTTCTTTCGCCAATTACAAGCGCAGTTCTGATAATGGCCGAGATGATTTTTGCAATTCGTATGCAACTTAACGCCATTCTTAAGACCACATAACACAATGAGTAGTGTTGACTACTATTCATCAGGCAATTGTTTCCAGAAACTGCTGGCAACAACTGTAAAAGTGTGATTTAATTGCCGCATAACGACCTCTACAGAATGCAATGACATTTATACGACCAGCCCCTCATCACACAGCGTTATCGCAACAATCATTGCCAGATTTCAAACACATGCATAAAAACGTGGATTGATTCTAAACTATCGCCATGTTCGCAGAAGTTGCAAATCAGTATCTACATCATGTCAGTAGAAGACTTCGGCTAGTTTTAAGGTTGTGGGACATGCCGTAGAATCATACTCAAAATTATACATACGACTATGTATGTTCCAATGTGTGTTTCTTTTCTCCATTGGTTGCAATGCGTCAACGATCTCTCTTGCCACTGCTTAATGGTTGTCGATTGGCTGTCCAGCAGTCAAAAAAAAAAAAAACTGCAGCGATCGAGTCGGTTCAGTGGACCGCCACATTGCTCATACGTGCTGTGTGAGATTCAAACGAGTTGTTGAATAAATCTCAGTCATGTTCTTTTAACTAATGGGAAGCCTTTAGAACCAACCGCATTTGTTGTCGGTACGCGTAACGTATTGGTTGTTAGTTTGCCCTGCCGCACGACAAGCCACCAAGTAACAAATTAGGAAAAAGCAGCATTTGGAAATCGTAGCAAAAACCATGAGTATTTTCAATTGGAGAATTGTGTTGTTCCAAATCTTATGGTATTTGAGTGGTCAGTTAAGATTTAAGGTGATTAAAATAAGAAAAAAAATCTTAGAGTTTCCGCTTCCCAATGTTTCACAGGTTCAAATGCTGGTGTAAGTCTCTCCTATCGTCCCGGTCAATGTGACATTTCTATATTCAGTGTCGTTCAGGATATGCTACGTAATGAGGTAAGAGCATTACTCAATCCCCGTCTTCGATACTTGGCAAGTCAACAAATGCACTATGACCTGTACACATCGCTGAATCCCAATGAACGGCATATTCTTCGCACAGGGGATGTTAAGGCATTGCGACGCTCACACTTCAATCCCAAATGGCCACTAAGGTAGGTTTTGTCCAATCAACACCCAAAATACCGAGAGTAATATTTGCGGATGTGTTTCAGAGTATCAATCCATGGTTGGGCTGGCAAAAGCACCTCTTGTTCAAATGCCGCCATCAAAGATGCCTATTTGTCCAGGGGAAAATTTAACGTCATTCTTGTGGATTGGAGTGATATTTCACATGACATTAGCTATCCACGCATATCGCAACAATTTTCCGAAATTGCCGCCCATGTCGGCAAATTTATTCGTTTTTTGCAGAAGGAAACCGGCATTGAGTGGAGCAACATTTACTTAATTGGGCACAGCGCTGGTGGTCACATATCGGGTTTAACGGGCAAACTATTGAAACCACAGCAAATTGGTGCAATAGTGGCATTAGACCCAGCTGGCCTTGCACAACTCGGCTTGCCAGCAGATTTTCGTTTGGCCCCCGACGACGCCGCCTATGTCGAGAGCATACACACAGATACAACACATTTGGGCAATCCGAGCATTGAACTCAGTCATGCATCGTTCTTTCCCAATTGGGGTCAAGGCCAGCCACATTGTCCAAATGCAACGGCAGCCGAATTTGATTTTGCTTGCGATCACTTTGCAGCCTTGTATTTTTTCGCTGAGTCTGTGCGCAAACCAAAACTGTTTGGGGCGATGCAAGCGGTGCCAGCATCGTGTGTGAAGCACCACAATTGTACATGTCGCGAAACGGGGTCAAACGAATGCACGGCCGACGTTTACATGGGCGGAGAGCCTCTGATGCCCAAACGCGGCATTTATTATTTAAGTACGCGACGGAGTCCTCCCTTTGGTTTGGGCAATTCTGTGCGAGTTCGAGCCTCGATAAAGCCGAATTTCTTAGAAAGCAGTGTTCTACCAACACAGATATTCTTTAAAGGTTAATCATATCCCGTCGAACAGTTACGATCGTTCGACCAAAGCCAGAGGTTCAAATTAAATTTAATTTTTTTAGACATAGACACAAAACTTACATGGAACTTTGTTGTCATGTAGTAACAAATAAATCCTTAACAAGTTCTCAAGTGGTTTTTAATTACTCGGCTTAACAGCAAAACCCACAGTCTAAATCCTATACTAAAATGTTTAAAGTGACTCAATTAAATCACAAACAATTTATATTGTCTGCCACATCATGTACAGGTATAATATGAATAATAAAATAAATCATTAAAATTAATTCTGGTAACCGTAGTAAGAGTCATAACATGATCATCATTTTATCGCATCTCTTAATTGATGTAATATCAAGAGAGATACAGTGATACGAAACAGATTGACTCGAATATGTTAAATTGACATCGTATCTTAAATTAGACGTCTAGATTATTTTTCACAACAACCTTCCAGATCCAATATTTAAGACTCCGTAATAGAAGTTTTACATGAAACGAGTCTGTGGATGTTGGTAGGTAAATAAACTCTGTACCGTATCAACAAGTCTGAAAGCCATGTTAAAATGGATCATCCCTATTTTTTAAAGGGATAGAATAAATACAAATATGAGTTGAGTGACCACAAATACTTATTCCTAATATTGTTGTGATGGTGATAAGAACAACAATTTCAAAGTATCATGAGTTGGTTGGTGTATTCAATTCGGTTCGAAAATAGTAACAATTTACTTACCTGACTTGGTCCTATTCGATAAGTAGCAGGATCTATTTCGTTCGCTGATAGTATTTGCTCGACGACAACATCTTTGCTACCCTCGCCAGCTAAAAGACCAAACCGTCTTTCGAATTCGGCGAGTGGTACAGATTCAGGAAAGCCTAATCGGTGCAATCGTGCAGCATCCAATACCTGTGAACCCCGCAACTGCAAATAAAGACAAACAGCATTGAGAACTTGCATTCATTTGAAATTAAGGTGCTAACATCTGAGCTTTATAGTTCAAGTATTAACTCAAGCATATAATTAATTTAGTGCAACTCAGTCCAACACTTACTTGGCTTCTCAGAAGTGGAATATTGACAAGATCTTCTTTAGCACATTGAATTGCCGTCGTGTTTGGTGAGCCATTTGTGGAAAGACAGGAATGCTGTCCAGCATTGTGCTGCAGTAGATAGCAATGCACAAAATGAGTTCCGGTACGTCGCAGTGTGTCGATGATGCCATCAACGGTAAATTTCACTTGCAACATAATGGAATTTCGTTTTACACCAGCCGAGGTAAATGATCTGCGAATACTGGAAACACGACGTAATGATTGAGTACCTTCTAGACCGGCAAATGAGCCGCAAAAGACGATACCACCAGAGCTACGAGTCAATGATCCAATATAGAGGCGACTAATTTCGTCTCGCGATGAATCTTGCAGCAGTGAACCAGCATTTCGTATGGCTGGATGCTCACGACTATTTCGCACCCAACCGTTGACACTGTATAAGACTGGATTTGTGCCCTGTAAATGCTGTAATACGAATTGTTTTGGTCCTGTACATTTCCGCATGAGCGCTTGGTGTTCCCGGTCTCCATAGTGCGAAAATAACCGCTCAAGGAATGTGTCATCATTTGAGTTGGGGTACATGGACTCCTCATCTAAAAGCCACAATAGACCTCGCCGGTCTTGTTCCCTTAAGTCTCTTTGGGAAGAACGAACTACGTGGTTTTGTGGTGCCTTATCAATCAGTGCCACTAAAGGAGCTGGACTTAGTTCAGATATACATTCAGTATCAATTTCAACTAATTCTTGGGCATAACGGTCCCTTGGCGCCACCAAGGTGTTGTGATGGAACAGTAACTGCAAACGCTCCTGTAAGTAATTATGCTTCAAATCGGAGAGTGTTGCCCCGATTTGTGATCCACAACTGGCTGGATTCTGGAATCCAGGTGTATCAACTAGAACTATCGAAGCAATTGTGTGCGAGGCAGTGCAAATAGTTTTATTTATGAGGGCTACAACTGCAGCTAATGCCTCGGAATAAAGGCCAATAACCAATGCGTCTAAACATTCCCAAGCCAGTTCTAAACTGTCAGTGGATGCTTTAGAGGGACTTGTGCTTCCCGATGTATTGACATTAAAAGCTGCACCAGTCAAGTCCTCAAAAGATACTCCCAGTAAAAGGGCAGCCTTTCTTGCTGCCGATGGATTGGCAAATTGTGTACGGCCATTCGCGCCACTGCCTACGACCGTTACACCAGCCAAGCCCAAATGATATATGGAAGCCAATATACTCCAAATACCCTTCACAGCTTTGGGATCAATGTTCAAAGTTTCGAAAGCCAATGTGGTGCGCATGAAATCAGCAGCAGCTCTTTGGCGATCTTCCAGTTTTTGAGACAATGACACGAACGGATGGTTATCTTCAGCCGGCAAACTGTCGATATAGAGTTCCTTTTGAAGAGAGCCTGCTGCACCGGCTAATAATCGAGACATTATGTGAAAACTGTACTCATTGTTTAGGCGCCGACCAGCCCTCTGACGCTCTGGTAGCAAAATCTGTAAAAAAAGATTATTGCCTTAATACTACAATCTGAACAGACATTGGTATTGTTGTTTAGTTACCTGTAAAGAAGCCGACGCTATCTGCCCAGACTGATCTATGTCTAAACTTAGCAATTGAGTCATCCTTGTCGCATTGGAATTTAAGCAGGTTTTCGTATTGCCGAATGATTCCAAAATTATGTTAATGGAATTGACTTTCTCGGCATTGAGAAAGTTATTAACCGAGCCTGAAAGGAATAATATTAAGTGACTCGAAACGATGTAAGTATATTTGTATTGCCGCAATTGTCAGTTCTTGGTGCAGGTGAGACTTACTATTGCCTTATGTTATCAACATACTGATGTTTGTACCAATAATAGCAGCCTAATCTAAGTCGGGATATTATGTTTTTTACTGCACTGTCAGGTATTAGTTTAATTGCAATATAATGATAATACCTAGGGTCAATTGCTTTGGACAGCCGTATTATGCAAATACACCATGTCCATATCTTCAAACCTACTAATGGTAAAACTAGTAACAATTGTAAAATCCACTGTGAAAGAACTGCACGTTTATGGCATCCTAAAAATATATTACAGTTTTCGAACATGTTGGGCTTAACTGTGAAGATTTTTTAAGCGATTAGTTTACTTTATTTGTATTTGTTCCATGAAACTGCGCCATTATATGGAGGCTACAGCAAACCGTTATCCAATCATAATATTTATTGCAGGAAGTTTTCAAGAAAATCTGTATATATGGTCTGTTAGTCTTTTTTATTACAATACGAGTTAATAAAAAAAATGTGAATCTTTTTTAAGTACATTTTATGCAAAAAATGCATTTAAGAACAGGGTTCGGCATATTGCACTAAATTTTTAGTGCACTAAGAATTAAATAATTAGTGGTAGTGCACTTTTTAATTCCACTACCACTAAAGGGTTAGTGGTAGTGAAAAATAAATTGCACTACCACTAACCCTTTAGTGATATTTACAAAAAAAAAATTGCACTACCACTAAATTTTAGTGGTAGGGAAATTTTAATAGCACTACCACTAAATTTAGTGATTTTTCAAAAAAAAAAAAAAAAAAAAAAAAAAAAAAAAAATTGCACTACCACTAAATTTTAGCGAAGCCAAAAAAAGCACTATGTATATAAGTATTATACCAGCTATAATGAAGTTTATTGAAGTGAGTAGGGAACAACAATCCAGAATATATAGCACATATTCATAAAATTTGATTACTTTTCTAAATAGCACTAATTTAGTGCTATTTTTTATGAAATACCACTAATTTAGTGCAAGTTTTTTTAAATACCACTAAATTTAGTGGTAGAGCTATTGAAATTTCACTACCACTAAAATTTAGTGGTAGTGCAATTTTTTTTGTAAATATCACTAAAGGGTTAGTGGTAGTGTAATTTATTTTTCACTACCAATAACCCTTTAGTTGTAGTGGAATTAAAAATTGCACTACCACTAAATGAACAGTGAAAGTGAAATTATTAATGCACAAAAAATACAGTGCATTATGCCCATCTCTGTTTAAGAATATAGATAATCCTAAAAAAATACTTTAAATATATTAAATATAGGGATATGAGAAAACATGGACCTATCCATTTATATTTTTTTCCTTGGTACATTGTTTATACCCAGTACAAATCTCTGTTGCACCTTCGCATGCTACGTTAACCACTGTGCAAAGTTTTAAAATAGACACATACCTGCTGCCAAAGCCAAATAGTAAAGTGCGTGCTTGAAACTGGTCGTCTTGCCCGAACCAGAACGTCCCATGAAAATTAGACTTTGATCTCGGCGTGTCTCCAGCATGGCCCTGTAGGCGGTTTGGGCCAGCGAATATATGTGTGGAGGCATATCTTCAGTCTTGCAGCCACGAAACATGGAAACAACCTAAAAGAACAACACCCTATTTAACAAACACCTTCATCTGCTGGACCAACCTCATGCAAGCGTACCTTTTCTGAGTACAGTGACAGAGGCGCCATAGGGTTGACCACTAACAATGTGGGCCCCGCTTTGGTATGTATTAAGTTACTGGCAAAACGCTGACGTAGGCAGTGCAGCACCGACGCCTCGTTCAAATGCTTTAGTTCGCAAATATCTTCAACCAAATCTAAAGTGGTGTCGTTTTGCTTCTCAATGTCATCTTCGTCCACCGTCATTTCTTCGCCATTATGCAGTAGTTGTATCACCACCTTGTGGGTTTCCATGTGGGCCTTGGTTTGGGGCAGACGCAAAGCAGCACAGAATCCTCCACGGTGTACCAACCATACACGATCGCCGCCACTGTTGTTCTTATTATCACCCATCGCAGTACAGTCGTCTTGTGAACTTTCATGCTGCAATTCATTTCCATTGCGAGACTGCTGAAAAAAAAGAAACGGAATAATAAATAATGATCGAACTACTCGATACGTTTCGCAGCGCAGAATTCAATTAAAAATCAGAGTAGAGAAGTAGGTGCATACACATGGGTATGTGAGTGTCTTTCTTGTTTACAAACAAAATACTCCAGGCCTAGGGTTATTTTTAGAAAAATTCTCAAACGAAAACATGTAAATAAGTCATAAATATGATTTGTTTCCAAAAAGGAAGAATATGTCCCAAAATATGAATTGGACGAGTGCCGACAAGCCGTAGTGACTGCAAATGGGACTGGTATCTTGGCATTGCGTTTTGGATAGGAAACATTATTTGTTGCAACATTAGTCAGTTATTTTCTTCAGATACATGCAACTAAAACAACTGTTTTATTCTAAGGTTTTAATGTTAAATAACAGATTTCAGTCAGTCTTCCATTTTATTAAATGTTCTTCCAATAGATGAATGGAAATACAACTTTTTGCATTAATCCACATGGAGGCGGTCTGTGCATGCTGCTGTCCGCAGCACGTAACACAAAAAGCCCCAATAAATAAGTCTGCGGAAATGTCTATTTTTGGAGCAAATGGAAGACATTCTAAACGAAAATGTTCAATTTGACTGACAGCACATGGATGTGTGGAAAGATGGAAGGCATTTGACTTTATACGCCCCTAATTAACCGATCTCGCTACGCACACACACACACATTTACATTGCGAAAAGATTTATGCGATTTTGTACGCAAAATAGCAGTGACAAAATATATAGCATTTTTTGTGTCCAAAAGAAAAGTAAAAGAAAATCATGTTCATCTAAGAACAGTCCCACGCCGACTGGTTCTATGTTCCAGGTTTACTCTGAAGACATGATCCATCCATGGCTCAACAAGAAAGGTTGCTCAACTTCAAAGAATCTAGAAAAATGCAACTCTGTGCTGGAGTCTTATTGTGTCAAATAGACTTTTAAATATGCAAAGTGTATATATTGCGATGTGTATATGTTTTGACAGAATAAGGAAAAAATTGTATTTAGGGGGTAGCTTCATTCTACCTTCTGTAATTATGCCATGGTTCCATCTATATTTGCTCTATTTGTTTGCTGGGAAAACAAGGTCAGTAAAGTTTTGTTAGTCCGAACAGGTGGCGTTCTCAACCCAATTTTAAGACATTTAAAGTTTTATTTTTCAAATTATTTAACATTTCAATCAAGGGTAAATCGACATAGAATTTTATTCTGATCAAGAATATATATAATATGTGGGGTCATTCGAGATTCTACTGTGTTTTATTTATCTGTTTCCACTTTCACCGAGAATGATAAGATAATTTATAAAATAACTAGAGCCTATTGGTTTTGATTGAATCCATGCATTCATCAAAAACGAGATGATCTTTAAATTCATCACCAACTGTTTTTTTTTAATGAAAATTTCTAAATTCGATAGATTTGTAGCAAGAATAAATAAAAAAAAAAACATTCTCCCATAAAACATTCGTCGAATAGCGGTACTCCACAATTAGCAAATTGAGGCGACTATCTTAATGGCCGACGTCAGTCATCGCGGCACTTAATAATAAACGGAACTCCAAAAATGAACCAAAACAAACGTTAGAATAGAGTCCATTGACCACAAAAGTATGCCTGCGAACGGATGGATCCATAGTCACATAGTTATTTACGCGCCCCTTTATGTGTCTGACACTAAGAAACACACACACACACGCAAATATACACCAGAAAAGCCAAAGCAGAACGATAATGAATATCGATGTGCGTGTGCCTGTGTTTGGACATTAATGTGTGTTGTTGGTATTTTGAAATATGGAGATATCGAAGAAATACAAGTGTCCCAACCTGTAGTTTTATTTAACGCATTTAGTTCTCATGTCTGCAGCGTCACATGAATCATTTGCCATTTAAGGACGCGATTTTATTCCAATCAAGTGAAACAATATTTCTGATCGTCTGAGAAGTAGGTTCTTAAAGGTGTCATATAAGTGGAATAAATTGACATTTGTTGCAAATACCATATGTTTCCACATTTGATCCCAATCGGATTAATATGGGGCGGCAAAAAATTATCCAATTTGCATAGATCAGCCATATTCAAATATTTACGCCAAATGCAATTATTTTGTAAATAACTTCGTAAAAATGTCATATGCACACAATTTTGCTGGCATATTCAGAATGTATGCATTTTGAAGTTTTCTGCAAGAACGATATGTTTTCATTGCATTTTAATATCCAAATATGGCCTCGATCAGATCAAAACAGGAGGTGCATAAAATTACACATTTTAGTGACTGCATTTGAATAGTTGATATCGTATCTATAGCACTTCGATACCCACGCTAATAAACGTGGAAAACTCTTGTTTGATGACAACTCCTTTCCTTTTTTAATCACAACGTAATGCCGCATACATATCTATTTCTGCATATGTATGTAGGTGTCTGTATTAGTTGCGAATTTACTGTGGAGGTATTTCTTTTTATTGTATTACCACATAATTGACAGACTGCGTGTTTGTTGCTGCCCATTATGCCAACGAAGGAATCGACTGCGAATATTGCGAGTGTGGACTCCACACTGTGTCTGTGCCATGCAGCTCCGACTGTTGTTGTTGCTGTTGTGTTTTAATAACATTTCATTCCACAAATAAGAACTTCCGCACCAACAAATGAAGGAGTGAACCGAATAAGAATAAATGCCAATAAATAAACGCTGGGTGGTTCGGTAACTGGGGGGATGGGTGCTGCAATCAATATAGGTGGGCTTTTATAAGTCATTTTTATTTGATTCAACTTCTGGCAATAGGAACAACTTATTAATCATATATGCCCTGTGCCTTAAAATTCCTGTCAGAACCTAACTAATCATTTTTTATCAATCGTAAATACTTACCAAATCAACCTACAACCTACCAAAAATGATTTGTTTTTCACAACACATTTCAGTGACAACGTGACGCATTACCTGGTAATGCGAAAAACACAAGTTTTTTGACTTTGTAAATTTTTTTAGGAATAACCCATTATTTTCGACCTACTTACTGGCGATGCAAAAGATAGTTTGTTTACATTACGGTTTGATAGGTTACACGTTTTTTCCTAGTTTTTGCTGAATGTCTAAGCCAAGGACATGTTAAGATTGACATATATGTTGTACTCCCGTACTTTTGTAAAGGCAAAGCAAGTTAAACAGTGAGAGAGATATGTTACATTCTCAAGTAAGACATCCTTCAAAATCGCTATTTCAGCCAATCAGTGCACAGTGGTCGAGGTCGTATGGGAACAGCGGCCAAAAATACTTTCAGTGCAGATATCAATATGAATCTTTGGTTATGGTGCATTGATGGGATAAAAATAAAAAATGTGACAAAATGGATATGGGCGAGGCATGTTTTGGCATGGTCCCCTTACAACGTACCTCCCGAGTAAGGGTTATTTGCCCAATTTTCGTCACATTTCTACACTAGATTGTTCCGTTATTTGACATTTTACGTTCTAAAGAGCTAAACCAGTAAAGAAAGTCTTAAAGTCGGGCGGGGCCGACTTTATGATACCCTACACCACTTTGCTAATTTAGTAGAGCTCCGCATAACAATTAAAAGTTTCTATGGGAGAATTCAATCATACACGCTATGATTATAATTTAAAGTTCAAATATACCGCAGCATTTGTATCTTTTAAATTCGGACTTGTATTGCCCATATGGTGCACAATTAATTTGAAATCGGATAAAAATATATATGGGAGCTATATCCAAATCGGAACCGATCTCGATAAAATTTTGCAAAGATATTTCTGAGCTGTATTTGATGCATTTCCCTGAATATCGTTGTCACGGAGTGCATATTACGGCTGTGAGTAACTAATATAACAAATCGGATGAACAATATATATGGAAGCTATAGCTATATCTGTACCGATTTCGATGAAATTTGGCATACTTATTTTCAGGTGCAATCTGATCGTACGTGCAAAATTCCATACTATTCGGACTGATATTACACGTTGGTGCACAATAAAAGGCAAATCGGACGAAGATATATATGGGAGCTATATCTCCATTTTGACCGATTATCTACAACTCCAAGAAAATGATTTGTGTAAAATTTCATCTAGATAGGGCAATAAATGCGAACTGTACTTTGTTTACAAAATACATGGACAGACGGACGGACGGACATGCATAAATCGACTCGGAATGTGATTCTATGCAGATCATCAAAAGAAACTATGGGTCTATCTCGTTTCCTTTTGCCTGTTACAAACAAATGCACAAAGACATAATACCCTGACCACCTTGTGGTGTAGGTTATACAAATAGTCTTACTGAAAATTATTTGGAACGGCCCGCCTTCAGGTAGAGTCCCCCTGTAAAGGTACCTCCAAAAATAGAAGTATTTTAATACCATTCAATTCCAAATTTAATTATTTTTTGTAAACAAAATAGACAATGTTTTTGTAAACAAAATAAACAATTCAATATAAAATTAAATCAAAGCTACTAATGGATATATATAAATTTCAGTGTTATTCAAGTAAATCAAATGCAGGTTTTAATAATAAATATATTTTATTGCTTGGTAACGTTCGCTGTCCCGTTATAAAAGGGTCAGAGCTCCGAAGAAGACGGTTAATAAGATCTGTGTTTGTTGAAACACGAGCATTTTTTCGGGTATGATTTAGTCGAAACTTTTTTATATATTTGTTGCCAGACTTCGCGGCCTCCCTATAATTCTCCAAACGATACAATGACATATTTTATAATGTCGGGTGCATGTATTAAAATTTTATGAACTGTGGGTGGAAGATTGTGTCATGGATATCTATTTGTTAACTCTTTAGCAGTTTCCAGTGTAAGGTGCTTAAAATTTTCGACATTAATATGGCATCCGGAAGTCAATCCTTGTAACAATATTGAACACCTCTCATTTACATCTTTATCAATCCAAACAACAAAAACATTTTCTATGTCATTAGCACCATAGAAT